AGACACTAGGGTTAAACCACATTTAAAAGATTGAATCCAATCAATTACTTAGTTTGAATCAAGAGCTTATAAACCCATTTGCTTTCTCTTCAAGTTCCGATCCAAGATACTCTCTATTAGATTTCATTAAAGGATTGTGAGAATTTTAGAAAAACAGGATGAATCTCATTCCCGAGTGCCTCCTCGGAATCGGCTGGGCGATCACCAAGGAAAGGGTAAATTGAGTTATAATCATAGACTAGCTGTCAAAGAGTGGAACCTGCACATGGTGTGAGAATTCAAGAGAGTGTAAAGTGAGAGATATGAATATTGAACACGCTACATGTTCTTTTATTTAGAAAACAAAAGAAATAATGTTATAAGCTACATATTCCTTTAATATTCCATATTTAGTACCCAATTGTAAGATATTCCATAAACAGTTCTCAATTTTTGAAAACTATTTTACAAGTAGTCCTTTTCCCCAAATATGACAAAATATTTTGAGTAAGTTTTTAAAATTATTATTTCTAATAAGGTTTTTTTCCAAAGTAATTCTCAATAAGCAAAAATTACTAATGTGGTCATTTATAATTGAGACGTGTTTCTTAAATAGACCTTTATAAAAAATAATGGTAGTTAAATAGAGGGTATTTTGATGTTTTTTATTATCTAAATTATGAATAAGTTCTCAAAATGATTTTTTTAAATTAAGTGGGAGGCTACTGGTAAATAATAATTACCAATTACATGGCCCTTTATAATTTAGATTTATTCTCTAAATGGTCTTTTGCCTAAAATGCCTATTAAATGCCAGTGAATTAGAAGGTTTTTTGTAATAGAGTTCATGAGCCAACTCGGGGTGGGTCCCTTCTTCTAGTAGCCTCCCACTTAATTTAAAGTTATCATGTTCAAAACTTATTCATAGTTTAGATAATAAAGATCATCAAAATGTCCAATATTAAACTGTTATTTAATATGCACTTTTGATAAAAGACTATTTAAGGAACAAATCGCAATTATAAAGAACCACGTTAGTAATTTTTATAGTTATTGAGGATTACTTTAGGGAATAAACCTTATTAAAAAGGACCATTTTGAAAATTACTCTAAATATTTTGTTATATTTGGTGAAAAGGACTATTTGTGAAATAGTTTTCAAAAATTAAGGACTGTTTATGAAATATCTTATAATTTGGGATTAAATATGGAAAATTACATATAATTGAGGATCATTTATGAAATTTACTAAAAAAAAAGGAGGAGAAAGTTCAATTAGAAAGAATACATTAGTAAAAGCATCTTATACCAAAAGGTAAGCCACAAGAGAAGGGGACACATAGAATCACGTACTCATGGCATAAAAAACTTAACATTTTTGAGTCATACGAGTAACATATGCTGAATTCCCCCGATCACATTATTTGAACTTTGAAGATGTTCGTCTTTCGTGGACTATACATGGGTGAGATATTTTTCAAATCTATGAAAAAGTCCGAAATGCATATTCCAGTACTCTTTCCCAGTTACGTGTTTTAGGTATAAATAGGTTAAAACATGTTTTAGCTAGGAAGAAACATTTAAATATTAATAAGACATAAGACAATAATTCAAATAGAGTCTTCATATTTTATCTCACGTACAAAATCTCCCTATTTACAATAGCAGCAGGAAAATGTTGGCGCCCAAATGAACAGTAACCATCCGGTCAGTATTCCTGCCAGTTACAACCGTAGCCTATTATTTAGCCCCTTTTCTTTCCACGTCTTCTCTTTTCTCTGCGCTGATTATCAACTATCATTAGGAGGCGCTACAAACGAAGCAGATAGATGAAGGCGGCTATGGGGCGGCACAAAAGCATCTGGTCGCATGAAGAGTTGCAGCGGATTTGGCTTCGATCGGACGGCGGTTGTGCAAGACTGTGGACGGCTTCGATACTGGACGATGACTTGGGATTTGAATTGAATTGATCTGATCGGCCGATGCAGGCTTTTCTACTCGACAACGATGACTTGGGATTTGATCTGGACAACTTCGTGTGACAACATTGAAGGAAGAACAGTCAGGGGTTTAAGTTCTAATTTTAAATTTTTTTATTATATTGTTTTTTTTATTAAATTCCATTTTCATGCATTTCATTATCCAATAATAAATAATTTTTTGTTCATTTCAATTTTCTTTTAGTGAATGTTTGAATTATATTCTAAGAATATTATAGTGCCATGTCTGCAAGAAAAATTAAGCAAAAGCAACTAGAATTTATCATGCTTTGTGGGATCTCCAAGTTGGTTTGTCCATAAACCAATTTTTATCCATCTTTGCCTCAACAAATCAGATTCCAGGTAATTTTTTTTTTGTGTTGTAGATAAGTTTGAAAGTGCACCAGAAATCTGGGTTGATCCCCAAATTTTATTGCTTTTTTCACGTGCAGGGCATTTTCTTGGCTGTTTTCCGGAGCCGAGAATCAAGAATCGAGTGACACCGAAACAATAGATTTTCATTCTTTCCCTGGGCATTTCATGGAATCTAAAAGAAAGATTGGCCTTTCTCTATCAGGTTTTGTTTTCTCAATTAAAGGAAATCTAATGGCTCAGTTCTCGATTATTTGGACATTAAATTTGGACAGGCTTTGGAAGCAGTACTACATAAGCAATTTATAGCATATGAATATGTTCATTTTTCTAAAGTCTTGATGTATCCACACTTGAGGTAATACTTTATTTCTGTTTAAAACCTTTCTTAAGTATCTTATATTTTTCCTTCCTTTGTGCATCGTACAATATATCAAGTTAATAATTATGTTACTGGCTTTGGATAATCAAATATTATTTCGACAATCTAAGAAGATAAGAAATGCCCTGTGCTGTGGGTCCCATTTCCTAACTCAGGTTTAAATGAAAATTTCAGTTTCTTATTATAAATATCATCATTTTGTAATGTTAAATGTTATGTTAAAATATGCAGTGATTAGTGTGTGTCTTGCAGAAAAGGTGTGCTTTTTTAACTTGACTAGGAAAATTTGTGTACAATTAGTGAATCAGAAATTCATTTAGGCATATCCTTCCCCACTTTAATGCCAAACCTAAATTATACCATAAGCTAAACATTCTTAGGGAAGACTTTTCTATTAAGTTCTGCAATTAATATTCTTCACTCTCTTTCCATAGTTACTCTTGAATTGGTTCTGAGAAAGTGAGAATAAAAAGTTGAGGCCGAGAAAGTTTTACCCCATATATTAGGTGCAATTGCTTTGACTTTTGAAATGAATTGAAACTATTGCTCCACCAATAGTCTCTCGCTTGAATACACATTGATGAGTGCGTGGGTATGTTCTGTAGTTTCTGATTTTCATTTCCACCAAAATGTGTGATGAGTAAATTTTTATACATTTTTTACATGCACATACATCTTCGGAAAAATAAAAACAAATCATTTATCACGGCCCCATTAATAAATAAAAACACTTCTTACATGGGTGACAATAGTGGTGATTTTCTTCTATCTAAATTTGAAAAAAAGACATGAGACTTTTAAAGAGTACTTATTAATCAGTTGTTTTTATAAAAGAAAATACATAGATTGGGATAGAGACATTATTATGAAGAGATGTGAATGCTATGTCTTCTTTTTTGTTGTAATAGACTAAATAAATTTAGTGGACAAAGTGCTTATTTTTAATCTTGATTTTTATAGTCGTAGAAGTTTAATTTTTCCTATACTTCTTGACATGTGCCCATTTTTAAACTATTTCCATTTTTTTAAATTTCCCTCCGTCACACTAATGGGTTTGTAATCCACTCTTGGGTTTGTAATCCACTCTTTAAGGTTGCTATTGACTCATGAAATTGTTTGATATATTTGTAGGAGTGCAATTCGACAAGAGAGATGCAAGTCTATGAACTTAATGTTAGGAGAAATATCATTGCAAGATTTTTTCTCTTCAAAGAAAACTACAACTACATTTAGCTTTTATGTTGTTATGATGAAAAGGTAAGTACTTCGCATTTTATGAAGTACTCCGTAATCTTTTGTTTTGGTTTCATATCATGCTTTTAGCTTCCTTGGCTAATTCTAGGTTAGCATATGTCTCTATTCATGGTTGAGTTGAGATCAATGTTGCTGGCCCTAAAAGACACCTGCAGATATAGTTACTTTGGCAACATCACTTTAATTGTTACTTTTTGGTGCAAACATGCAACTTATTTCTTATTTTTTGTGGCCAAGAAGATTAGCTCAATTTCGAGTAAGATAAGCAGTGATTTATTTGGCTAATGTGTAACATTGGCTTTTAGGGTCGGGGATGACTGTTTTGTATGCTTTTGGTTGATTTAGTTTCATTGAATGATGATTAAGGGTGTAGGTTTTATGGAGCAAAAATTTTTCAACAAGAAGAGACGTAGGTCATGAACAATACATTGCAGAGTTTTCCACTTTGGATTATACTTCAGATGCTTTGCACAAGTTGTCACTGGTAATAAAAATATAAAAAAATAGTCTTTTTCTTTAACTCCATATTTTATTTCATCTTTCTGTTCTTCATTTTTTAAAGTCCTTAAAAAATTATTTTACTTTTAAAAAACAAATAAGTTAGATTTTTTAATTAGAGATAAAGTGAGTATATGTTATCCAATTTTTTATTTTATTTATTTTACTTTTACTTATAATGAAAAACTATATTTTATTTCATTTTTGTAACATTTTCTTTAAAAAGTATTTTTTTGAAAATTAAATAAATAAAAAATTTTAATTTGAGAAAGAGGGCGTTTATTTTATTTTATTTTTTTGACAAAAAATGTAAACAAAAGAGTGAAATTTGAAGATAGAGAAAAACCAAGGGCAGAAATGTCATTTCATGTGTAAAATAGGCAAGAGGGGGTGTTTGTGCACTATTTAAAAACCACAAGGGTTTTACAAATAACTTTTGAAAGTAGAGGGGATTTTGGCGCTCCCTTTGTAAACCACGGGACACCCATGCTATTATCCCTTTTATTTTACATGTCATGAATTATAGGAGTATCAAATTAAATTGCGAAGTTTTATTTAAGATGAATGGATAACTTTGTAGCATAAACCCTATATTAAGATCCATGACGATCCGCTCCTGCTTGCAGTCAGATATAGAGGCGAATACGATCTGTAATTAGCTGGCGACAAATTGGACAGTTATCCACTCTTTCACCACAATCCTTGCAGATCTGCAGGTATATGTATACATAATATGTGCACTCCATCAGCTTGAATTAATATAAGCTGAGTATTAGTTTAATTAATCATCTGATCTCTTTTATATGTTGCAAATTCAATTCTTTCAATTCCCGTTTATTCTATTATTTTGAATTTTGAAAGAGAATCCTGTCTATTCTCATATTTTAGCAGTTTTGTAGACATCTATTCATGTAAAATAGCGCTCAAATGAACAAGAATGCCCAAATTATTGTAAAGGGTTATTGTACTCTGTATTTCTTTCAGAACACCAGTTGGATATCTAGTCAAAGTAATTTGCACCATAAGAAAGTACTATACCAGAAAATTTCTCACAAGAAAAAATGTTTCTAAAAGAGTTAGTTTCTCCATCCGTCTCATCAAATGTTTTTCCGGTTTGACTGTATGGAGTTTATGAAAAGTATTGGAAAGTAAAAAGTATATGGATAAAATTCGTTTAGATGAGAAGAGAAATTCAGTAAGCCACATAAACAATAACAACAAATCCCACATTGATGTCTCCAAAAATCAGGAGATATCAAAAAACCCATATTTGGAAGGGTTGTGATATCAAGAGATATCAAATCTTTCCATTCGCTCATCAAATGGGTCCAAAAGCCCTAAACCTTCTTGACCCTCCAATAGAAAAAATTGTCGTCTACAATGGCCAAATCTTGGAATGCACGAAGCTGGCAACAAAATCCGACGTTGCAAAGGTCCAACATCTCATCCCCCTTACCTCACACGGCAATACCTCGAGGCCCAAGGCAGTGTTTTTTGTCTTGAAGCTTGAGGACCTCGCTCGTCCTCCACGCTACGTTCTTATTAAATACAATTTTTGTTTTCACTTTCTTTAAACTTTTGAGAATCATTTTTAAACTATCATTTCTCGAGAGAAAAAGCACTCTCATTAGTCATTATTGATAACTCTTTGTTTTGAATTAGACATTCCTTTTCTCCCATTTGACTATATTTGCCTTTTATGTGGTAGCTTTTTTTGTATTTGAATTGATCTTGTTTTCTTTACTTTCTAATAACATTATTTCATTTTCTTAATATATGGACACATTCTCTATTGAATTAAACATTAGTCTCGTACTGTCAGGAAGAGATGAAAATAACATAAAAGCTAACATTATCTCCACATGTCGCATCTAATTTCAACAAGTATGGTACAGACCAATTGAATATAATGACATGTTCAGTCAACATAGTGCTTGGTTCACAATCAGATGGCTTTGGGAAAGCCGATAGAAAGAGAAATTTGTGTGTGTGTGTGTGAGAGAGAGAGAGAGAGCACTGAAAGATAGATTTGAATTTTAGAGAGATGAGTAAGAACAACCATGTCCCCTACCTATAGGTTAGGGAGGGGCATATATAAAGGTGAACAAAGAGGAAGCGTACACAGACACAATGCCTAAATACTTCAAATTCAGTACAGATGGGTCAGCCCAAGAGGGCACACAACATACTAGACACTAAGACCTACCAGATGGCAGCCCGCCAGGGAAACCACACCTGTTGGCTGCTTTGGTGAACTAAGTGGCAAGGGGAAATGGTAAAGGCAGAAAGAGAATAAATTCAATAAATTCAAATCCATTAAAGATGGATTTCAATAAATTAAAGGCAGAAGGGCAAAGTTAAAATTCAAATCCATTAAAGATGCTAATGGGCATCTTTAATGGAAGAGATTACAACTATGGAAAAAGGAAGGCCAAGATTTCATTTCAAAAGGCTTGGGAACTAAGAAGACAGTCAAGCGACCACGAGATGACCAAGTCTTTCATTTGGAGTCCTTTAATCAATCAATACTAAGGTCCAACTGCACCTATGGAAGATGATAAACAATGCTGTAACCTAAGGTAAATAAAGTACCATCTTCCCAGCCAATGCCAATTCTGTACACGCGTTGAGGACAGAATGGACCATATTATGCTTCACTGCTTAGTTGTTAGACCTATATGGAATCACTTTAAAGAAGCTGTAACCAGACCAAATTTGAGAGATACTATAACTTGGAAGCAGCACATGATTGTGTTGGGGTGCAAACCTTCCTTCCATACTGTAGGAAAAAGGAGAGAAGAACCAAATAAAATGGTTCAACCCAACCCATTAGTATGATGCCTATTGGGAGGTATCCAAAAATATTTTCGCGAGGATTTGGCCCAGAGCAGACAATATAATACTAATGCGGGGTTGGGGTGAGGGTATGTGCGGTCCCAACACGTGGTATCAGAGTCACGTTCATGCGGGTAGGAGTGGCGAAGTGCGTTGTGCGGAGTTCTCGGTGTGCCCGATGTGACAACATGACCGAAGGTCTGCAGACGGTGGTTTGTGTCAAAAGTCTTCCTAACATGTGGTGGTCGAGTAGCATGTTCCGTTGGTGTTAACACTTAACAGCGATACAAGATGATTTGGTAGATCACGTGGTGTGGCGAATTGGTGGTCTGCGGTAGGCCATGTGTTGAAAGTCTTTTCGGCAGGGGGAGGTCGGGTGATGTGTCCCGTGAGGTTGTAACAGTGGTGCAAGATGGTGTGGGTATCAAATGGATAATCACTCAAGGGGATGCCATGCATTGTGTGGTCGTTAGTTTGAGAAGAGGTTTGTGGGTGTCCAAAATTGCCTCCCACACTAGAGTAAAAAAGAGAATAGAATCAAAATAAAATGATTCAATTAGTATGAGCCCTTTTGGGAGGTGCCCAAAAACAAAATGATGAGGGCTTGGCCCAGAGCAGAAAATATCATACTAATGTGGGATTGAGGTGAGAGTACGTGCGATCTCAAGAGATTGACTGGTGGGTTAAAGCAAAAGAAAGGAACTTCAGAGGAGCACTTCTTTTCTCTTTGCCTGGCATCATAACTTGGACAGTTTGGAAGAGGTATATAACACAAGTACACAACCATATATAAAGGCAAAGCAGCAAACTCCTGATCATTGTGGCTAACAAAATGGTACAATTGCGGTGAGAGTCAAATAGAGGGAAGCGTTGGATGATGAAAGATGTTGCTTTTAATTTTTGGGGCTTGGAACAGTACTGGAACAGAGGCACTAATTCTAGGACACACATTTTGGACAAATTTACGTTCTTAATTGATAATTATGGTTGAATTATATGCTTAGTTTGTATAGTTAAAGCGTGATCAAAGTTTGTTGTTTAAGATTTACTTACCTATTTGTTTTACATCGTAACCATGATTTTAATCCTTATAAAAGTTCTATAAATGATAAGGATTGTTGTGTATTATTTCGAGGAAGTTTAGTCACTAGAAAGACCCCCAGACGTTGCCTCATGTTTTTACTTGATCGCAGTGATTGGAGGTAGAAGACAAAGTGGTTATTTGAAATACTCTATTGGTTATTCGATTACCCATGTGACTCGTCCCAAAAAAGATTTGAATCAGCTTAGAAGCCCTTGGGTTAGAAAACTAATGGGTTATTCGAATAACCCATTTCTTTTAGGATGATCAAATTCCCAGATCAGTTGGGCTGACTGAGTAAGGTTAGAATTGGGACTATTGGACCTCCAATAAACATGGTTTACACACCGGTGGTTTGGAAACGATTGAAAACAATTTAATTAATCTAATTTACCCTGTTTCATGGTTGTGACCTGGAATGATTCCGAGAGTGAGTGTTCCATGGCGGTAATGATCAATACCATTATACTTCAAACTTGACAATGGGGTTGTTTCTCTGTGTCGATATTTATTGACTTATTGCTTATAAGTAATTTTTAACTTTGTAGCTGCTTATAAGTTAAATATTCTTTTGTGGAAGTAAAAGACTTAAATGATAGATCATTTGGGGATATTCATAAATAGTGATGGATAATTTTGTAAATAATTGGGTCAGAACGAAGAAAAAACTGATTTAAAGAGAAGTAGGTAAGACCTATTATAAGTCAGGTTATAAGCACAGAGAAACATGTCATCAGCTAACTTATAAGTTAAAAACAACTTATAAGTAGTTTTGACTAGCTTATAAGTACAAAGAAACACCACAATGTAATCCATAACCATTTGGGTGAATAAAGTCGATACCCTGTGGTATATTTGTAGAACTCCCATTTGTTTCTTTTTCTTCAAATTCCATTACATTCACAAAACAAAAGTATTGAGTATAAAATATTTTTATACAATTAAGTCATGGTCAACCCTTTTGCTCTATCCTATAACACTTGTTGGAGAGCCATGTATTATGCTCTCTAAATTAAAAATGGGTGAATTAAACCCAGTTTAGGAAATCCAAAGTGAAACTATCTATGATAGGCTCTTAGATAGATTCTCCATGAAAGGGTGGAAATGACTAAAGATAGGTAGAGCTTATGTGCATGTTATATTTTCATAACCTAAACCATGTATAAAAACAGAAATACATGTGAATAACAAAAATGCACATGAATAAATCATGCAAAAATGCAAATAAATCTGATAAATAATATTGAACACCATTGTAAAACTAGAAAGAAAAGCAAAAATCACTAATAAATGTAGAATAACAAAGGCTTACAGTGTGTCCACAATTGAATGCCATGTCTTTCCTACTCTCGAAACACACTGGGCAAGCCTTCATTATTGACAAAAAAAATCATTAAAATTTTTTAAATTATTAAACCAAGCTTTACTTCAAAGAAATACACAACTCACAGTTTCCAAAGTTAATTTAAAGTAAAATTTTTTAGCCACTGATCAATGATTTCATACCCACTCGGAGAATTCAGAATATAAAGGAAAGAATGATCGAATATAAACACATGCAAGCCCGATTTAAAACTGCTAACTTTGTGTGCATATAATATGCTCCTATAGATACCTGACTTTGGCTGTCTTCTGCTGGCATTAGAACATTGCTTGCTTCTCCCGTTGGTCGAGGAGTAGAAGAAAGTGGTGGACGTCGTGGAGTTACCTTCTTTGCTTTACCTGTCACTCGCCTTTTGTACAAAGAGAATAGACATGACAATTAGACTATAGAGGATATAATTCTTGATTGATACGCAAACACACACTTGGGTTGAGTAACGTAAAAGGATTCAATGACTAAATTTTTTGGATGAATTGTGGTAAAGCAGACCAATACATAATCGAAATATCGAGAGTTTGGGGCACACACATTGGCTAGCCAATTGGAACAGGTATCAGTCACCACGTTTTGATACAAGTAACAAGATTGGTGTGCTTGTGTGATGGAGATGGAAATTCAATATTAAGTTGGAAAATTTAAGGAGATCTTGGCATGGATAGTGAAGGAGAGGGAGGGGCACATGTAATAGAACGACAAGTCGACAATAAAGTAGTAACCCATAAGGGAGTGAAAGTGGGATAGGAATTAAAAATCATTTCATAGAAACAAAATACAAAAAAAACTTTCGCTTGAACCCTCTATGTTCTCTCGAATATGTGCTAAAGATTTGTCATAAAAGATTTCGTTTTAAAGAACCTATCTATTTTGAGAAGTAAAAGGACATCAAGTGACATGAATATATATGATCGTCTCATAACAAGGTCACAAAACAGATAACGATGGTTCATTAGATTCATTTTCAATTCAATTCATTTAAATAATGGTACAAAATTTTGAAATAAAATTTATATATTTAAAAACTAAATCAAGTGCCCTATAGAACAAGAAGTGACATGACTGTTATTTTAACAAATGATTAACAAATATAAGTATAGAAAAAAAGTGACTCGTGAATAGTACGTGTTTGTAACTATAGTTTTCGAACAAAGAATATTTAGTAAGCAGTTCTACAATTGTGGATCATATTTTTGGAATGAGTATATTCTTTAGCATATTCTTGATTCCTCGACCCTTATCACCTAAGATGGTAACTACATTAGAATCGTGTCATTGTATGTGTAGTCCATGACTATTAGCAATATTAATAGCAATTCAATGTAATGAGCAATTCTTATTAGTCACATTTGTTCTTAGTTTATTCTTACCATGTATGCTCTCTCCATTGCGAGAGCTTGAAGAGTGGTTATGCACCTCTTACGTTCCCTAACCATTGATGTATTGTATTATTTGTATATGTAAATTGTAACCTTAAACCAATAATATACAACTTCTTTGTTATCGTATGTTATCAGAGTTTGATTACTCCAAACTTAGAAATAACCTTTTCTTCCTCTTCTTCGATCGAAGATGGCAGTGTCACCAAGTTACTCCACCTCGAGCTAAACCACGACCGGCATCACTTCTCTCGTACCATCACCTCCAAAAGTCATTTTCCAATCAATCCCAAGAAACAAAATTTTCTCATTTGATAATGTCAAGTCTAATCCATTCTTTTTGGTCTCAACCTTCTAGGATACATTGATGGGTTTGTCAAACCACCTGCCATGTATTTTGATGTTGCACAGACACCCTTGATTCAGGAATATATCATGCGGCATTGTTCGTGCATTGTTAGGAAACTATTCTGATGATGTTCAATCCCTCATTGCCCTAGTGGAAACCTCCGCCAATTTGTGGTCTAGATGCATTTCTCATCTTACGAGTATCTCTCACAGATGTTTGAAATCCAAACAAGGGCTTTGGATTCGTTTCAATGTGTGAAATCCAAACATCCACCAATTCGCTATCTAAAGGCAAAGCTAGCGAGGAACCCCAATGGTACTTGTACTGTTGATAAATTCCTTTCGGATATGTTCAAAATCCAAACTGATCTTGCCTTTGTTAGGAGTCTTATTAATGATGGGGATAACTTCACTGTTTTTATCCTCATGCATCGTAAATAGGATTACCAAACACTATCAATCTCACACTTGAAGACTTTCAGATATTTTGAAAGATTGCAAACATCAACTGTTGGAAATTCTACTAAGAACATTTTTCTTACAATCTTACGGTCAACTATGTTTCACTGTTGTTTGCTCTAAGGCGTAGCCACGGTTTAGCAATAGTATACAGGGGTGATAGGAAGTCGTTCCTATGGAAATAATGGGCCCAACAATGGGTCTCACCATAGCTACTCCTCTGGTCTTCTTAAACAGGGGCGTTACTGCTAGTTCTTTGACTATGTCGGCCATGACACAAGCTATTGTCACAAACTTAATTGTTACCTTTGAGACAACAATTGCTCGTTCTCTCACAACCATAGTTGTCATGGCGCATGGCGACATTCATGGCGATTCTTTGACTATGTCGGCCATGACACAAGCTATTGTCACAAACTTAATTGTTACCTTTGAGACAACAATTACTCGTTCTCTCACAACCATAGTTGTCATGGCGCATGGCGACATTCATGGCGATGGGCCAATATCACATGGCGATGGCGATGGCGCGAATATGGCGTCGCCACAGGACACTATTCACACAACATAGTTAACTAAGATTCACACAGGTATAAGACACGAATTTAATAAAAAAACAATAGAGTACTTGATCTAAATAGTCATGTTGGAAAGGAAAACACAAATAAGAAGTTATTCCAAATTCAAAACGATCCAAGGTGCTAGTAATAAAACAACTCCAGCAAAATTTAAAAGTAATTCAAACTTAAAACTTAGTCTCAAAGTTTAAGATTTGAATATATAATGATGATATCTCATCTTCGTCAACTTCTTGAACCATTGGATTACTAGTTGATGCTCAATCCTGCCTCTTTCAAAACCAAGTCTCGGAGACTTGTATTCAACCCTTCCGGAACAGTAGGACATCCTATTCTGTTACGATGCCCTCCAATCAAATGTTGTTTGAATCTTCTAATCCCACCATTACTTATACGACCACAAAAATTGCATACCAAATCATTACCCGAGTCTGGTTTCAGCTTTGTGCAGTGTTCCCAAGCCAAAGAGCACGACATTTTAGGTCACAGGTTCCAGATTTGTATGAAACTCAGCCTATGAAGAAGAAGAAGAAAAAGGTTGTCGCAGGTTCCCTCCCTCCCTTCTCGAGTCCGATAGAAAAAGAGGACGAGTGATGGTTGCAATTGGGAAAAGTTTGTGAAAGGCCGAGTTTGACAAAAAAGAAAAGGGGTTTTTTTGCATTGGGCCTAACTTATTAGACCTTATTGGGCCTGAACTAAGCAAAAAAATAAAATAAAAAAGAAAAAAATTGGCGACAAATGGCGATGGCGTGGCGATGGCGCAAGAATGGCGCTGCCACAGGATACTCGATCGCCACAAGTAGGTTTATGGCGCTGGGAGGGCAAAACACCAATGGCGCATTTATGGCGCGCGCCATTTGCGCCATTGATAACACTGCTGACAACGATTCCTCCGGTACTCATCACTTAGCACCGGTTCGTTCAGTAAAAATGGTTACTTATAGTGGTACCACTCATGATGCGACCTCCAATCCTTGAACGCAGCAATCATTCATGAAATATGGCGGTTTAGATGAAATATGCCTTGGTGATGGAAAGACTGTCTATTTCTCACACTGGCTCATCCATTATTCCCACCTCATCTGCTTCACTAATTAGTTTGTCAAACAATCTTTTTGTTCCTAAGTTACATACTAATCTCTTATTTGTTTTACAGTACGTTATGCAAAACTTATCTTGTTACAAAAAAAATATCCAATTTTTTCTTTGTCAAGGATACTCGAACGGGTCTCTGCTTCATGTGATAAATAAGAGCAACTATTATTCCCTCATTGTGCCTTCCTTTGTGTGGCCCAGGAGGATAATGTCATGGTCTGTCTCAATAATCTACAGTTGCATCTCTATCTGACCTATAACATCGTTCTTGTCATCCAAGTACAAAAAATTGATGAGTGTTGTTGTTGTCTTTAACTATGAGTTAGATATTTCAAATAAAACTGTAGACTCTTTTCATTAGCTCCTATTATATCAATAATAGTCACTAATTGCTCTGATATTCCAATACTGTGTCCAGGTCCAGGCGTCCAGCTCAATCAATAATAGTCATTAATTGCTTTGATATTCCAACACTGTGTCCAGGTCCAGGCGTCCAGCTCACCTCCCTTTGAACTTACTTATATTGACGTTTGGGGCACTTCCCATCGCTCACTCCATGGGTAGTTTTATTTTCTCGTGCTGGTTGATCATTATACAAAATATGTACCGATGTACGGTGGTATTCTACAAAATAGTATTTCAAATACCACAACTACACTCACTTTCCTCATTTATTACACCCCACCGACCTCAATTAACATACTCCACCCCCTTTCATTAAGGGTAAAATGGATATTTACATCGTTTTTTCAACTATCCTTAAAATGCGTGAAAAGTCAATTTGGGAAGATCATTCTCGGACAGCGGAAGGAGTACATATTTGATGTCAACCATAATTCTCCCAAATTTAAGGAACTACTGAGAAGGAGTACATATTTGATGTCAACCATAATTCTCCCAAATTTAAGGAACTACTGAAAATATTTTTGTGCATCGTATTCTCTCGATGGACTATGACAATGGGGGATAGTTTATCAAATTAGTTCCAATATTTAATTAACATAAGATTTCTCATTTTACCACTCCCCTTCACACCCCGGAACTCCCAGTACTTTGCTGATACTTTTATTAATCATGGTGTGAGTGATTTTTTTTCGAGGAACCAAACTAAGTTTTACAGGCTCAGGCTGATCCTACATGATGGCCAGAATCCAGTGTAAAGAGATGTGCCACTTATTTCTGTAAGAATCCAGTGTTTCATACCAAAATGAAACATCTTGTACATACTTTACTACTTCGTTTGAGAATGTGTCGCAACAACTAAAGTAGATTGAAATAACATCAAAAACATTTTTAGGCAGATTGGAAGGTAAAGTAACCAAAGAAGATAAGTACATTTTTATATATACAAAGGACAATGGAAGGCATGTCTGATGTTAAATAAGGGTAAACAGTAATTCAAGAAATTACCCTAGTAGACCAAGTTCTTTGGTAGCTTGATATTGGATAGGGATCTCCATAAGGGCAGCAAGAGCAAACCTAGTTTCCTTCACAGAATTATCACTAAAGGTTGACATGTCTGTAAAATTAACAAACTGCAATATCAAATGAAAAATAAAAATTATAAGGATGACATATTTATTAGAAACGGAGATCAAACACAATTAGTACCCCCCCCCCTCAAAAAAAAATAATGATCTTATTCATTGACTATTTCATAAATTAAAATTGTTAAATAACCATTTGTTTGTAGAACTCCTAATGTACTCCCTTCGTCCCACAATGGTTTACACTCTTCACTATTCAAAAATCGCGGGAAGTTTTGTCCGTTGTGTATTTTCATTGATTGTTTGTATTTGATGAAATAAAATATTCTTGTCACCTCTTGTTTTGCAGAACACTTGATATACATTTTAAATATGCAAGTTTTATTCTTTATTTCTATACCAATCTTTAAATAAAATGAATTGAAAAACCATGGAATTTTTACTTCGTTTTGCGTAAATGTAATTCATTTTGGGACGGAGGGAGTAATTTTTAAATATTTAAATTTCAACATAAATTTGTAAATAATAAATTGAAAATAACTTGACTAAAGCATCCTAACCCGAAAGGAGAACTTTATTTTGGGATGTGAGTGGTATATATTACCTGAAAATTATCAAACTGACGAGCTGGAATTCTATCATCAAAACTTTTCATGTTTTCCCAAGGTCCGTCACCAACACCGACCAACACAATAGATAGAGGATACATGCTAGTAACAAAAGCAACAACTAAAATGATTGCTCCTTGGTAATAATTCTGAAATTACTCGTAATTTGTTATTTGCATTTTATTTTTGATATTCTATCGTTCAAATCCCTATTCCAATACTATCTCTGTCCCAAAACTAAAATCTTACTTTGACTTCACACACTTATTAAGGCAACGTTTAAAATGGTATTTGACTATGAAAGCTGGGCATCGATGGATTCCATCCGGCCACAACTGGAGTTACCTCCCCTTATGTACATGTGTTCTTCCATTGAAATAGCTAGCTAGAAGGAGATTCTAGCATAGAACAAATATATAAATTGGAATAGGGAACTTAGAACAAATATATTGGAGGGAAGTAACAAAATCGAAGCAAGAAGGGAGATAAAGATGGGAATGACTGCTGGCTTACAAAAGCGGATCATAAAGACATAAATACATGTGCTTTATGATATATAGTGTATTTCATACTAGTATGTTTCTAGGGCATTGTACATGAACTATGTTTGATTGAGCTTGATTATGAGCCTTATTCCTTTCTTGAGCATAATTATCGAGTTCTCTTAAGTTTCTTGGGTCGTTGTGGCTTTTTTCACTTGCTTCTCTTATGCCCAACAAATGCTACGACTTATTAGTCATGGTTTACGTTTNTTTCAGGCCCGATCGTCTAAAAACAAATTAACTTTGGAGGTGCAACTGAAGGGGGTGGGGGTGTGTTCGGGTTGGGGCGGCATGGGGGGGGGAGGTTGGGTTTTACCGGGGGGTTAGGGGGATGAGAACCGTCAATTTTACGAATGGAGCACTGTAGCGATCCCGGGTCATTCCATGACATGGGGTTCCAATGTCATGGAAACCCCTCCGTCATATATATTAATATAGTGTTAAATTGAGCTAGGTTTGGGTGGTTTGGCAGGAGGCGGTACGTAACATACCTTGCATTGACAATGGAAGAAATTGTTCTCTGTTCCTGAGTGCTGAGGTCTGTGTCCTTGGTATCAACACTTCTTGTGACCTGACCATCTGCTATGATTAGAAGAACATGGTATTGCCCTCCACTTTTCTCCACTATGTCTACTGCTCCATCTATCACTGGCCCATAACTTGTTGGTCCTTTAAACACCTCATTTTATATTTTATATAAGTAAGTCATAGTACTTCATAATCCCTCAAAATTATTTACAAAGGACAATTATATTTATTTGGAGAGTAAAATATAAAACATTTAGTTTCTCCATTATTTTACTATCATTATGTTTTAATTAGTTTAGTTTAGTTTCCCCCAATTAGGAATTGAAGAAAAAGAGGATATGACATTGTGCTTAGGGTTAGGATGGCATTATACCTAATGTATAATGCTAATTTATCAGTAATAAATCTCAACACCCACATACTTAATTTAGACATCAAATCTACCAGATAATTTCACATTTGGGATGAGCTTCCTGTAGCAAGCCAACACTTCTTCAAAGCCATGGCAAGGGGAATGGTCAGTGTGAAAACTGAAGACTTGTTCGTCATGTGTGCTCACTGCATGCATGTCACGTTTATCAATTTAAATAATGGTAGTTTGATTTGATTTGTTTTTTAATGACGTAATAAATGTACGCACTGCTAAAATTAATTGCCTATGATTGATAATTTGATATATAGCTTGATTATTTACCATCCCCAAACCCAAAACAGGGAATCAAATTGTCTTCATCAAATGGAGCGAGGGTTTTGCCTATGATAGAGATAGCTTTCTCATAAGGATTGGGTTGATGAAGATCATTATCATCATCTTCTTCAATGGCATGAAGGCTCTTATTGTTGAATGACTCTTTGCCCGTCCATTCGTTACTTTTCGTGAAGTCAATACCAATTATGAGATTTGAAGATTCCAAACCCGATTCCCTCAACGCTGCTGTTACCTGTAATTATTAGCCATGCTAAACTTCAGTGTTCCAAAAAAACCTGTAGTTATTAGCCATTCTAAACTTCAGTGTTCTAAAATTCTCCGACTTACTCCGCCTATCCATTTTTAGAGACTACAAAAAAAGCGTAGATTGTCACGGGTTTCATGTCATTGACTGTAGAAAGTTTATTTTTGACAATGTCTCGGTTGTCAGAGAGATTTTATCCAGGCAACAAACATCATTCCGAACATCACCACAAAAATGTCTGGCAAATTTTGGTGGCTTAGTGTTCAACCAATATCCGTGACAATTTTGTAACGTCTCAATCGGTCACAAGAGTCGCATTTTTTTGGTTGTGAGAGCGCAACGCATTTGATCATATCTAACCTGTTCGAGGGATGTGAAGTTATCGGGGATGTATTGGTACTTTCTCATTGGCGTCTTCTTCTCTTTACGATTAGCTATGTTAGGAGGGGATGGCCGCCGGAGGAAGCTCAAAACACAGCCCATGGATCGGAGAATATTAATTTGAAGCTGATAATGGTTGAGATTATATATTAGAAGCTGGTTATGATAGAGATTTACTATTAGAAGCTGATTTATGATCATGATGTCTTCTCTATTAGGCAAATTAAGCAAGCCTCTCCATGTATGATGCCTATAGCTAACTGCATGCCTTGCTTTGCTTGCTAATGTCAAATACGAATACGATTCCATGTTATACTCTTCACACAATATGACTAGCTAGCTAGCTTTTATATACCCCATCCTTCCCAATCGTCTTCTTTCACTATTCACTAATCAAACTTATTCTCCTTTTGACTTATTTTTGTGTTTTAATCCTTATCAATTCTCTTACAATGTAGAGTAGAATATATTCATATATACTCTTCTCAATCTATTGAAGCATAGAGATTAGAGAGTAACCATCCCCACTCGGATTTGAACTTGTGACCTCTCGCTTTTGTTAATCATTTGTTAAAATAACATAGTTATGTCATATCCTATTTCCTAGAGCATTATTTGTTGAAACTACGGAGTATTTGATAATCCTTCCATCCCAAAAAGATTTACAGTTTTCACTATTCAAAAGTTACAGAAGCTTGTTCATTTGTGCATTTTAATTGACTCTTTGATAAAATAGTATCTTCGTGTCACTTCTTATTTTGTAGAACTTTTGACATAGTTTTTAAATATGTAAAAATGAAAGTGGACAAATACTATGGGACGGAGGTAGTATTTTACTTATCTTTTGTAAAAAAATATTTCTACTTCTTTTGAAAAATCTTATATTTTATGGAAAAAAAACCCAAAAAAAGAAAAAAGGAGAGAAGCATAACTCGCATGAAATGCCAAGCATGACAAATTGCCCATGCCTTGCAAAGTATTTTATAAAAGATGATGAGGTGGCAGCGTGGCAGTTGCAAATCCACGCCACTGCCGATGCTCTAAATACTCCCTCCATCCTCAATTTCATTACAAATTGGGGTTTACGAGAAGAATTATATATCTCACTTTTTGAAATCATTTTATTTATAAATCAGTATATTGATAAGAAATAAAAATCACATATTAAAAAACTACGTCAAAAGTTCTACAAAACAAAATGTGACAAGAATATTTTATTTTATCAAATACTTAATGAAATCCCGTAAACAAAAAAAAGTTATCGAAAGGAGAGACGAAAAAAATTGTAATCAAATTGGGGACGTATGGAGTATATGCATATTTGTAGCCCAATTAGAAGCTTGTGGTCTTCAACTTATTTTTTCATTTATTCTAATAGGAATCATATCCGAAACAACTATAAATATAACTAAAATCGGGTCAGATCATAACCTAATCGAATTGCTTCAGGTTGATACACCAACCTCAAGCTTTTCCACATTCAGTGCTTTCAAAATGTTGCACCCACACCCCCTCTTATCTTTTTTCGGAGATGGGGCATCGGCGCATAATTTCTACACCATAGGGGGCAATCGTGCTCATTTCTTATTTTTCGTTTATTATTTGTGTTTTTTATTTTTTTTAAATATTTCCTATATCTTTTTTCCTTTTCCTATATTTTTTTAAAAAATTCTTTTCATGTTTTTATAATGTTTTAAAAAATTTAAAATTCTTTGTGTTTGAAATAAAAATTAAAATTAAAATAATTAACATACATTACATCTATATCAAATTAAACATTTTTACTTTTGTTACTTAGAATAAGTTTTTGGAAAGTTCAAAAAGAAAAACCATAATAAAAAAATAAAAATATAGAAAAATGAATTTAAAAAATTAAAATACGCAAAAAAGAGTGATACAAAAAAATTCGGACACATCTAAAAAGGTCATTAGAATTGAGATGTACAAAAAGGATATTCAATCCAAAAAGGATATTTATTTTCTTATTTTATTCCTCATTTTTTTAAAGTTCTCAAAAAAATTACTTTTTTCAGAAAAACAAAATTGTTAATTTGAGACGTATAGATGCATTATATGTTAATTTTTTTTAAACAAACATAACTTTATATTTAAAAAAAATTATAAAAATAATTTCAAAGAAAACCTTTATCAATAAGTGAAACAAATAAAGGAAAAATGGAAAAAAACACAAATAAGAAAGAAATAAAAAATTAGCACTGGTACCCCCTATGGTTTAGAAAATATGCACCAATGCCCCATTTTTCACCGGGAAAATGGTCAGAAAATGATCAGAGGGGCACGAGTGCATTTTGAAACCACAAAGACTTTAGAAATAAATTTTAAAAACTTGGGAGTATTGATGCTTATTTTTCAAACTGGTACTAGCTCTATTTGGCCCATGCTGATGCTCTTATTTCATCCGGATTGAAAAAAAGAAAATAAAACAAAGAAGTTAGATTTTTAAGCAGGGAATTGAACGAAGCCAAGTCATAAATACGACTTGCTCCTTAACTCTTTCCCTACTATTTCTCCTACTCGTGAGTAAAAAAATAACTTATCTCAATGATATTATCCAAAACATATCCCAATCGTAACCAAAATACAATTCTCAAGCAGTATTTATACTCCCTATTTTGGCATTTCTACTCAACACCAGCTCTCTATACTAACTAGCTCCCACTTCAAAAGAGACTATACATCTATGGCCACTATGGTCCTAATAATCCTACAACTCCTTTCCATATCATCCTCCCTCCTTTCGCGTAGCCAAGCCGCCGGAGGGAATGACACGAACGACGCCACGTTCAACAGAACCCGCCGTGTTTGTCACCCCTGGAGGTTCGAAAAGCTGGGGTTGAACATCAAAGACTTTGGGTTCTGCAATGTGTCCCTCGGGTACGAAGTCAGGGTCAAGGATCTGGTGGACAGAATGACGCTCGCTGAGAAAGTGGAACAGCTTGGTGACAATGCCCGCGGTGTTGCTAGGATCGGGCTACCCAGCTACGAGTGGTGGTCCGAGGCTTTGCATGGCGTCTCCGACGTGGGGAACACCGACAGGAAGGGCTCTTATTTCGATGAGGATGTGCCTGGTGCCACTAGCTTTCCCATGGTCATCACAACTGCAGCTTCTTTTAATCAATCCTTGTGGAAAGCCATTGGCCAGGTGTGTATATATATGGACATTATATAGTGTTAGAAACTTAGAATATAAATAATAACTCATCCTGGGCCCCAACTACAAGCTTGAACTTTTGGTTGAATTATTTCTTTGACATGGTATCAGAGCCTTGTTGACTAAGAGGTCACAGGTTCAAAACTCAACGCCACCCAGTTTTAGGAAAATTAAAGTTTCACGTGCAAGACTCGAAAAAAAGACTACGTCTGCACGTGAGGGGGCGTGTTAGAATATAAACAACTCATCCTGGGCCCCAATCACAAGCTTGAACTTTTGGTTGAATTGGTTCCTTGACATATACGTTTATTTTCATTCAACTTTTTATGTATCACAAAAATCATAATAATGCTCTGCTAAGAGTGAACATACTGAGTATATATAGCGTAATTATAATAATCCCTCTGTTTTTCGAAAATACTTCATCTTTCATTTTCTCCCTATTAATTTGATTTGTATTGTATTATTCTTTTTTTTATAGGTTATATCAACTGAAGCAAGAGCAATGCACAATTTAGGGCACGCTGGGCTAACGTTTTGGAGCCCAAATATAAATGTGGCAAGGGATCCAAGATGGGGCAGAATCTTAGAGACTCCGGGAGAGGACCCATATGTTGTAGGGACATATGCCTCTAATTTTGTTAGAGGACTACAAGATGTGGAAGGCACTGAGAATTTCTGGGATTTGAACTCGAGACCTCTTAAAGTTGCTGCTTGTTGCAAGCACTACGCGGCATACGACGTCGACAATTGGCTCGGCGTTGACCGCCTACATTTTGACGCAAGGGTATATGTGTCATTTACTCCTCCATTCAGTCCCAAAATGAATGACAAAGTTCAATTCACTAATTAAATGTGATCTATGTTTATTTTCTACTAGGTGACAGAGCAAGATATGCTGGAAACATTTCTTAAGCCATTTGAAATGTGTGTAAAAGATGGTGACGTGAGCAGTGTGATGTGTTCATACAATAGGGTCAACGGAATCCCTACTTGTGCTGATCCTAAGCTTTTGAAAGGAACAATCCGAGGAGAATGGGATCTTCATGGGTATAATTTATACTCCGTAATATATTGTTGGTTCTATAATTTAAGTATTTTGTTTATTTTAAATAATTTCTTGAATTAAAAATGATATATATACACATTCTCGTCCAGATATATAGTTTCAGACTGTGACTCTATTGAAGTAATGGTGGACAATCACAAGTGGCTTGGCGATGAGCCAGAAGATGCTGTTTCACAAACTCTCAAAGCAGGCAAGTTAATGAATTTATTCAGAGAGAATATTCTTTGTTGTGTTTTAAATTTTTTCAATGAATATATAAAAAGTAAACACAAATTAAAATAATTGAAAATGTATATATAGGTCTGGATTTGGACTGTGGAGATTTCTACACCAAACATGCAAGGAATGCAGTTGAGGGGGGGAAAGTGAGGGAAGCCGAAATAGACAAATCCCTTAAATACCTCTACACAGTGATGATGAGGTTAGGGTTCTTTGATGGCAGCCATAAGTTTGAAGATCTTGGAAGTCGCGACATTTGCTCTGAAGAACACGTGGAGCTGGCAACCAGGACGGCCAGAGAAGGAATTGTTCTTCTCAAGAATGACAATCAAACATTGCCTTTGAATTCTCACAACATTAGAACCCTAGCTGTTGTTGGCCCTCATGCTAATGCCACAAAAGCCATGATTGGCAATTACGAAGGTACATTCACTCCTAAATAATGTTTTTGTCCGATATTTTTTTGTGTTTACAAGCTAGTCAAAATTGCTTATAAGATGTTTTTGACTTATAAGTCAGCTCATGAGTCATCGGCTCATGGCTTGTTTTTCTATGCTTATAGAGTGACTCTTAATCTATTTATAAGTCATAAAAAATAAGTAGGTTCCACCTACTTAGGTCCTGTTCTTTTGAGTTTGAAAAATTAACTTTTAATTTTTTTTCAACTTCTTACAGTTTCTTTCAACATCTAACTCTGAAATTCTAACAAAAAGAACATGACTTTATTTTTAAATTTGCTTATTTATTTCTTCGTTTTGATCAGAGTACTTTCAGAATGATTCCTCATCATTTATGAATATTCTCAAATGAATTATTTATTTAAATCATTTTATTTTCACAATTATTTTTGGCTTATAAGCAACTTTTATAGGTAAAGACTATTTATCAATAATAAATCAATAACACTAACACAGAGAAACAAGTTTATAATTCCAGCAACACATTTTTCACTTTATTAACAATTCAAATTAAGTAGAGTGATAGCCCGAGGTTGTAATGGGCCAAAAAAAAGTCGATCCATTAATAATGTGACACACTAATAAAATGGTGACAATTAATAAGTAATTACAATATATATTGTCAAATTATAGGTGTTCCATGTAAATACACATCACCCATATCCGGGTTCTCAAAGTACACTAAAGTGGTGTACGAGATGGGGTGCGGAGACGTCCAATGCAAGAACGAGAGTTTGATATTCCCGGCGGTCGCGGCGGCAAAGAGGGCAGACGCCGCCGTGGTTGTAGTGGGAATAGACTTGAGCGTGGAAGCGGAGAGCAAAGACCGGGTGGATCTTCTCCTCCCAGGCTACCAAACTCAGCTGGTTAACCAAGTAGCCGCCGTCGCCAAGGCCCCCATCACCCTCGTCATAATGTCCGCCGGCGGCATCGACATTTCTTTCGCCAAAAATAATCCCAATGTCGGTGCCATTCTCTGGGCTGGGTATCCCGGCGAAGAAGGTGGCCGCGCCATCGCCGATGTTGTCTTTGGACATTATAACCCTGGTAATAATTAAATTTTTTCATCAAGGGTATTTTTGTAGAACAAAATCTTGATCATAATAACTTATTTTTGTTCCTACTATTTTGTGTATGCTTGTAAAGGAGGGAGGCTACCATTAACATGGCACGAAGCAAGCTACGTGGATGCATTGCCAATGACATCAATGCCACTAAGGCCAATCCACCACTTGGGCTACCCGGGAAGAACATACAAGTTCTTCAACGGCTCCACCGTGTACCCCTTCGGCCACGGCCTGAGCTACACCACCTTCAACCACCGCCTCCTCGCCGCCGACCGGAAACTCGCCGTCAAGCTCAACAGGTTCCAGCACTGCCGCCGCCTCAACTACACCTCCGGCTCGCGCCCGCCGCCGTGCCCCGCCGTGTCGATCGACGACCTGGACTGCGACGGTGGCGGCGTCGCGAAGGTCGGGTTCGAGGTCCGGGTCGAGAACGGCGGGGAGAGGGACGGGAGCGAGGTGGTGATGGTGTACGCGGTGCCTCCGGCGGAGGTGGCGGGGGCGCCGCTGAAGCGGCTGGTTGGTTTCGAGAAGGTGTTTGTGGAGGCGGGGAGGAGCGGGCGGGTGAAGTTTGAGGTGGACGCTTGCAAGAGCTTTGGGTTGGTTGATCATAAGGGTTATCATCTCTTGGCTTCGGGTGAGCACAAAATCGTGATCGGTCACGGCCCGCTTTCTTTCCCGGTCCGGGTTGAGTTTTTTTAGACTTTGTTTGAAGTCAACTAGCTTTGACAAATAACTCCAGCCAGTACGTTTTTTTTTTTTTTGTATATTTTGAGTGACTAGTAGTCCGTAGTAGTTTTGTTAGATTTATTTATTTGGAATTCGTAGTGTGAACTTTTGGCTTCCAATAAAAGCAAATTATATCTTACAACCGCTAAATTATTGTTACATTTATTTATTTATTTATTATTAAAATCAAAACTAAACAAATACTCAAGAAAATACTAAGTAGTATATTTATACTTGGTTAGAAGAGAGGTTGTAATTCTGAATAATGCGGATTATGAATTCCAGATTCTTATTGTGCCTCCAACTATTATGTACTCCCTATAAATAAAACTTCATGGTAAGTGGGATATTCGAATTAGGTTTCTCTAAAATTCTTAATAGATGTTCTTTGTTGAATTGATTTCCGTCAAATAAATTTCAAAAAATTGCTGCGGGGTACCCCTTATTTTGGGATAAAGACTGGCAGGTCCCATTGTTTTTTAAAATATACTCCGAGGTACCTTAAGATATTCGAAAATTGACTCCGGGGTGACAATCCGTCACTCTCTCCGTTAACCTCCCTTCTTCCGTTATCTTCTTCTTCTCTTTCTCCTTCTTCTTCTTCAATTCTCTTCTCCTTCTCCTTCTTCTTCTATCTTCTTTTTCTTCTTCTTTCTTCTTCTTCTTTTCTTCTTCTTTCTCCTTCGCATTCCAGTGCATTCCTCCCCCCACCCCCGTTTTTTTTATTCTTTTACTTTTTGTTTTGTTTTTTCTTCTTCTTCTATTATTATAATTATTATTATTTGTTATTAATTATTATAATTACTTCATATTAATTATTACTTTCTTATTCTATTATTATTATTAATTTTTTATTTTATTATTATTACTATTATTATTAAAAATTAATTGTTAGTTTTACCACTCTTTTCTATAAAAACACTAATTGTTATTTAGAAAAATAGAACTTATTTAAAAAACACTTATTATTAATACTGTCATTTATTTTAAACAATTAATTAGTGATTTTACTTCTGTACTTTTTTATAAAAATACCACTAGTTATTATTATTACTTCATATTTTATCCATCTTATTTTTTTCTCAAGTCCTCTTGTTTTCTCGATTTACCGTGACACCACTACCAATGGCGACTACAAATGACTAATGCGTGGCTAATGCGAAAGACATCGGATGCCAAAAAATTAGAGCAGTAAAACTGCTAAAAAATTTTACAATGATAATAATAAGTTTTATTTTAAATAATTAATATTGTTTTCCTAAATGATAATGATTGTTACTCTGTATATCTTAAAAATAGAGTACTAAAATTACTACTCTGTAATTATTTTTTAATAATAATTAAGAAAATAATAGGAAATAAATAATATTATCTCCGTCTTGAAGCATATGTCAGGTTTTGACTTTTTTCTATCAATCGTTTTTAATTTTTGACCTATAATTAAATAAAACATATATTGTATATTAATTCGATAAAGTAATATTTTGAAAATATTTTGTATATTAAATCTGATAAAACTATTTTTGTATCAATATCTAATATTATTATTATTTAATTTAGTGTTAAATTTTATCAATTTTTACCGAAAAAATCAAAAGTAGATAAATACTCTAGAACAAAGGAGTAATTAATATGAAGTAATAATAATAACTAGTGGTATTTTTATAAAAAAGTACAGAATTAAAATCACTAATTAAATTTTTAAAATAAATAACAGTATTAATAATAAGTAGGGGTGGACACGGTACGGTTCCGGATCGATACCGTCGGTGCCGGTACCGAAAATTGGGTACCGGAACCGGTACCGAAGTGGGCGGTACGGGTACCGGTTCCCGGAACCGGTGAGACGAACGAGACGGCGTGACGGCGGCGGGTACCAGCGGTACCGTCGCCGGTCACGGCACCGAACCGGTACCGTGTCCACCCCTATTAATAAGTGTTTTTTATATTAAGTGTTATTTTTTCTAAATAACAATTAGTGTTTTTATAGAAAAGAGTGGTAAAGCTAATAATTAATTTTTAATAATAATAGTAATAATAATAAATTAAAAAATTTATAATAATAATAGAATAAGAAAATTATAATTAATATGAAAGTAATTATAATAATTAATAACAAATAATAATAATTATAATAGAAGAAGAAGAAAAAAACAAAACAAAAAGTAAAAGAAGAAAAAAAAACGGGGGTGGGGGGAGGAATGGACTGGAAGGCGAAGAGAAAGAAGAAGAAAAGAAGAAAAGAAGAAGAGAAGAAGAAGAAGAAAGAAGAAGAAAAGAAAGAAGAAGAAGAAGAAGAATTCGAAGAAGCAGATAGAAGAAGAAGGAGAAGGAGAAGAAGAAGAAGAAGAAGAAGAAGAAGAAGAAGAAGAAGAAGAAGAAGAAGAAGAAGAAGAAGAAGAAGGAGGAGAAGGAGAAGGAGAAGATAACGGAAGAAGGGAGGTTAACGGAGAGAGTGACGGATTGTCACTCCGGAGTCAATTTTTGAATATCTTAAGGTACCTCGGAGTATATTTTGAAAAATAATGGGACCTGACAGTTCTTATTACAAAATTGAGGGTACCCAGCAGCAATTTTTTGAATGAATTTAGTAATCAATAAATAAAGAACTTTATGGATCAAATACTAATTATACGGAGTAATACTTAATTAACTGTTGAATCTTTGTTAAACCAAATTGATGCATGTGTTGTCATCCAAAAATTAATTATAGAGAAAAAATATTCATCCAATACGTAATTATCCCTTTATCTCATAATCATCTTCTTTCTTTTTATTAAGACCCTTCCTCTTTCATTTTTTTGTTTTTCTTAAAACATTTTCCCTTTCTATTAAAAAAGTACTTTTACCCCTACTTTTTCATACCCTACCTATGACATCATACTTTTTCACTAACTAAACTATTACATCTTACTTTTACCCATCACATCAAGGGCAAAATTGGAAAGTCAACTACAATTTAACACTTCCTTATTTTCCCCCAAAGTCAAAAGAGGAACTCTTTTGAAAAACGGATGTAGTATATGGATAGTCCCAAAATTAAATTGCCCCAAATTGGCAATCCAAGTTGGGGCAAGGGCAGGGGTGAGCGGCGGCAGGAAAATATGTGATAAATGCTTAGGGGGTGGTCAAGAGGGTATGAACAATTAATTTTATGATCGAACCACCGTATATATGTCAAGTGCGATGGTATAGTATAACGAGTGGTGTCACCACGTGATGGTTTAACTCTACAACCCCTCATATCTTATTATGTAAATATATGTTTTAGTTATACATTAATATATAAATTTGATTTGAAAAGAACTTTCAACATCGTGAAGAAATCCAACAGGATGGAGGAATTAATTGAAAATACTTTCTACCATCTCACTGTATTCGTTTATTTTGACTTTTTAATTCAAATTGGACAAAATTTATACTTTGATTACTCTCATTTTATATTGCATATTAATGCATTTAATTTAAAATTTTAAAGTTATTAAGAACATGAATCTATTTAAATCATATATACACTAATTTATATCACCTCTGTCCTAAAACTATCTTCCTAGTTACTACTCACACAGTCAAACTTTAATTACTTTCTTTATCTATTTTCGTTAGTTATTAATTTAATAAAAAAAATAATCTTGTCACCTTTTGTTTTATAAAATTTTTGATGTAGTTTTTAAATGGAAAATGCTAGGAGTACACTAAAGGTGTACCCGAAATGTCCCCCACCCCCCTCTTTGTCCACAAAAATAGGCAAGAAAATTCAAAAGAAAATAAGTAAATAAAAAACAAATAAAAATGAAAGGTTATGGAGGGGGTGGGGGACATTTGGGGTATTGGTGTACCCCTAGCATCTCCCTTTTTAAATATATAACTTACTCCCTCCGTTCTCAAAAACACTTCCTCTTTCATTTTTTTCACTTCCAACAAAACACTTCTCCTTTCTATTAAAAAACCACTTTTACCCTTACTTTTTCATACCCTACTTATCACATCATACTTTTTCTCTAATAATCAATCCATCACATCTTACTTTTACCCATCACATAGGGGCAAAATTGGAAGTCAACTATAATTTTACACTTCCTTAATTTGCCTTATTTTCAAAGTGGGAAGGGTTTTCCCAAACGGAGGGAGTATAAATTTAATTTTTCAATTTTATAATTACAATCAAATAAATTGAATTGAAAATAAAATCATTGAAAATAGAGTCACTCAAACTCTAGACACAAAGAAGAATATCTTTATTTATTTGGAATCAATTTGAACAATCAGACTTGAAAAAGTTAAAACAAATGCAATCCACAACCAGGAAAACAAAAGAGAACATACAAATCACCCATTGTTTCGAGCTGCGTCGGCGGCGGCGGAGATCTGTATGCGGAAGCGACAAAGCGGGCAGGACATACTCTGCACAAACCACTCCAAAATGCAACCCTCGTGGAAGCGGTGCGGGCAACCGGCCAACCCCACCACCGCCGTACCATCACACAAATCCCCCAAACAAACTCCGCACGCCACGGCCTCCTCGCCGCCGCCGCCGCCGCACTCTTCCACCGTCACCATCTCTATAGCCTTCTCCACCCGCACCTTCTTCCCCACCTCCATTACCCTCACCTCAGTCAGTGCTTTCCTCATCTCCTCTGGCGAGCTCACGTACTTGGTGATCTTCAAATAGTTCACCCCGCAGCCGCGGAGTCCCGCCGCCGTCACTCGCCGGAGAAACCCGTGGACGAGGGCGGCCATGCTGTCCCAGTCATCAACGGGTGTTTCGTGCCAGAAAAGTTCAACTCCTCTGAGGCTGTAAGGCACGCTCACGTGCTCGACCAACCAGTTGACGATTTCGACCCCGGGGAGGTTGTGAGTCACGTTCAAGTGGTCGACGGACCAGTCGGCGGCGGAGTCAACGGAGGATTCGCCGCCGCGGCTCAGCCAAAAGTCCTTGGACGCTTTGTATCCTACGACGTCGGGGGCAATTAATAATCCACGATTGTTGGGTAAGGGGTGGACGAGGCGAACGGAGACTGTGACGGGGTAACGGTAGCGTTGGGGCGCCGGGGTACTGTTCTCCACCGCCGGCGGCGGAGGGAAGTTTATGTGAGTTCCTTCGACAGTTACGTAGCTAGACCAGTCAAAGTCCGCCGTGGGGTTTTGGGAGGGGGGAGCCGTGTCTGCAACTGTTTCTTGCATGCTTTGGTATTTGTGTTAGGATGTTTGATGGGTTATTGTTGTTTATTTATAGGTTTAATTGCATTCCTAATCCATGCAGGAATGGATTCAAGAAAGTAAGAAGCTACGGGGTTTGTTGAGCCGTTTAACATTTCTAATTGTATTTTGAGTTTCTTTGTTATTGAGTGGACACTCTTATCCATCCAATGAGTGTCATTTTTACTCTAGTGTGCTTCCTTGATGCACTTTGGATACATGCTATTTTTGTGGATATTCTTACATACTACTTTCGTTCCTGAGTATTTGTTCAGTTTTGACTTTTTTCAGTCAACTGTTTTTAACCTTTGACCTATAATTAAATAAAATATACTCCCTACGTTTGGAAAAATCCTTCCCATTTGATTTGGGGGCAAAAATAAGGAAGTGTTAAATTATACTCCCTCCGTTTGGAAAAACCCTTCCCATTTGATTTGTGGGCAAAAATAAGGAAGTGTTAAATTATAGTTGATTTCCAATTTTGCCCCTGATGTAATGGGTAAAAGTAAGATGTGATGGATAGATTATTAGAGAAAAAGTATGATGTGATAGGTAGGGTATGAAAAAGTAAGGGTAAAAGTGGTTTTTTAATAGAAAGGGGAAGTGTTTTGTTGGAAGTGGAAAAAATGAAAGAGAAAGTGTTTTTTAGAACGGAGGGAGTAGTTGATTTCCAATTTTGCCCCTGATGTGATGGATAAAAGTAAGATGTAATGGATAGATTATTAGAGAAAAAGTATGATGTGATAGGTAGGGTATGAAAAAGTAAGGATAAAAGTAGTTTTTTAATAGAAAGGGAAAGTGTTTTGTTGGAAGTGAAAAAAATAAAAGAGGAAGTGTTTTTGAGAACGAAGGGAGTATATTGTATTTTAATTAAATAAAACAATATTTTGAAAATATTTGGTATAATAAATCTAAGAAAACTTTTTTTGTATCAATATCTAATACGGAGTATCATTTTTATTTAATTTGAGGTCAAAGTTTACCAATTTTGACCGAAAAAAAGTCAAAAGAGGACAAATACTCGGGGACGGAGGGATTAATTGTTTTTATAAAAAAAATATATGCTTATTTAAGTAGTAAAAAATGCTTATTTTGCTCATATGTAGATACTTAGTGGACCTTAGGTCCACCATAGAATTTTCCGTACTTTTAATGACACACAATATTACTTATGCTTAATTAATACTTTATTCGTCCATGAGTATTTGTCCATTTTTAACTTTTTTAGTCAAAATTAGTAAAATTTGACCTCAAATTAAATAAAAATGATACTCCCTCCGTCCCTAAATTAACTTCCTCTTTCGTTTTTTCTTTGTCTCCAAATAAACTTCTCTTTTCCTTAAAAAATCCCTTTTGTTAGAATAAGTGACCAACGCTAGAGGGGGGTGAATAGCATTTGATCGTAGAAATCGCAGAAATAAAAATTAAGAACGTGAAAAATAAAGTGCGTAGAAAGCGTAAAGGGAGCACACCAAGATTTATACTGGTTCACCACAACGTGTGGCTAATCCAGTCTTCCGAGAGACTCTCTCGAGCTACACTACTTCCGTTAAGCTTACGGGTGCTTAACAAACCGTTACAACCTGAGAACTCGAGTCCCACGAGCCTCAACAACACTTGCTCGGAGATACCGCACTCCAAGACTTCAACCCAAAGGAAAATGCCTTTCCTTCGTACAACCAAGGGAAACAGGATTCCCTTAACGTGTATACAACACTAAGACACTCAAGAACAAGACTCTCCTTAAGAGTGGATATTGAGTAAAATATATACGCTCAAAAACAACATAAACTTCACACAAATTAGCTCTAGAAAGCTATGGAAAATAATGTTGTTTGGATGCAATGATAATATTAATATTGTGAAGTGAATGGATGAGAAAAGCAAACCCAAACACCTCTTTTTATAGTACCAAAATAGGCTCCAACGGACCAATGCATTAAAGGGGTGATTGGCTTGATTTATGGGATTGAATAAATTTGAGAATCTGCAGGATATTGGCTTCCCATCGATGTTTAGACTCAACCATCGCTGGTAAGCCAATTTTCCTTCAGTTTTGAAGCCAACGGTCACCTACCCATCGATGGGTACAAGCTTCCCATCGCTGGGTGGGAGGTTGACTTCCAAACAAGGAAAGAATCAACCTTAAATGACTTCCAACGGTCATGCCTTCCCATTGATGTTTACCCTTACCATCACTGGGTTCCCATCGATGGGATAAGTTTCCCATCGCTGGGTAAGGTCATTCTGCCTTGTGTTGATGTTGGACCAAGGCTTTAACAGCGATGGGTAGAACTTCCCATCGCTGTTTGGCATGGTTCTGGAACTTGGTTAGGCTGAAGGGCCGCCTGCCCATCGATGGGAAGTTCTTCCCATCGTTGGGTGGGTGGTTAGCCAAAAACCCATGGTTTTTGCCTTAACCACGGCCTAGCCAACCGATGCAAAAACCGACCGAAAAATCCAAAGTTCTCCAAAATAAAAACCAAGTGTTTAAAACACTTATTTGATGTGTTTTGCTAAGAAATCAAGTGAGGCACTTTAAAAACCACGTCATTTGAGTAAAAACCACGGCTAGCCAAGTTTATACCGTTTAGCGTGGGTTTTGCCAAACGACCAAAAGCAAAAGGTGGTTTTCAAAGTGTTTTTGTTGGAGAACTGTTTAAACATGCCAAAGAGTGAAAACCAATCATAAAATGTTGAAAACCACTTGGTTGGTTCGGACGCCAAAAACCAATGCCGATAACCGAAAGCCGAACGCCGGTTTCTGAAAGCCGAATGCTGAATGGCTTGGTTTTTTGTTTGGGCGAACACCAAGTGTTTTTAATGACTTAAACAAGTTTGAAAAACATTTTTATGATGTAAGAAATGCAATGAAAGATTTCAGCCTAAAGAGCCAGTGCGTGAGGGTTGGGTCGGTCTTGATCACAATTATGACTGCGGTCTTCGTTCTTGGTCTCTTTTAGCTCTTGTTCTTTATCTTCGTTCTTCGCCTTGTATATTCAATGTTTGTCTTGATCACGGCGGTTTGGCATTATCAAAACATGTTACAAAAACGAACACAACTTTAGTACGAAAACGTGACAAGCCCGTGTTTCAACACCTTTTACCCCTTACTTTTTCATACACTGCCTATCACATGATACCTTTTTACTAATAATCTACCTATCACATCTAATTTTTACACATCACATTAAGGGTATTTTTGGAAAGTCAATACAAAAATATCTCTTCCTTAAATCCTCAAAAAGTCAAAAATGGAAGTTTATTTAGGGACGAAGGGAGTATTAGATATTGATACAAAAATAGTTTTAGATTTATTATATCAAATATTTTTAAAATATTATTTTATCTAATTAATATACAATATATATTTAATTATAGTTCAAATGTTAAAAATAGTTAATCAAAAAAAGTCAAAATTAGTTTACGTCAACATAACTTATTAATTACTACTCCGTACTTAATTACTCCAGTCTAATTACTTTCCATTCTTTTATTTAATTTAATTACTTCTCAATATTTTACTTTTCATAAATAGTTTTTTACAAAGCACATCAATTCATACATTTAAAAACAACAACCCAGTATAAAACTTATCGAGAATTACCAACTACTGATGCGCTAGAAAAAATTGACTTTTTCAGGGATCAAATTTTACCATAAATACTTTTTTTTGTAGCTACGTACCACGCTCAAGTCAACTAGGGGTGTGTTCGATTTTGGTTTAGTTTTGCATAAAAAATATGTAAATCGTTTATTATTCGGTTCGGTTTTATATACTTGGTTCGTCCCAGAGTGTTTGTCCACTTTTGACTTTTGGAACTGTTCATCTAATCACTTTGACTCATCAACTTCTCTCAATGTGTAAGCCTAAAAATAATCATGTGTGATCTTGTTTGATTCGTCTTAACATATAGATTATTAATATATAATTTTTATAATTTTTTAATATACAAATTACAAGATAAAATGGATTAAAGAAGTGCATTGGATGGTGTGCAAAAATGAAAGTGGACAAACACTCAGGGACGGAGGGAGTAGTTTTTATTCCGGTCAGTTTATAAAAATAAAAATGTAAAAGCATTAAATACTTGTAAGAATACTAACCCGATGAAGGAATACAATGTGTAACTTTGGGTTCGATTTCTTGGTTTTATTTTAATACAAAACCAAAAGCCAAACGAAAGGTTAGTGTTCCGTTTGGTTTAATTTTACCAAAAAAATATGTGTCGAGTGTCCAACAAAAATTTAGGAGATTCCAACTACTCCCAAACACATCCTATGTAAATATACGGAGAATTGCATTTTTTGGTTTACTTCTTTCATTTTCATTATACCATCAAAGTTTTTTATGTAAATATGTAAATTACTCGGATCAATGTTTAGTATTAATATAGTATTAAGATTGATTATTGGTGCTTATATTCTTAGGTTTTTTTAAAGTTTATAATATGGTTTAAATTGTTTAGTTAATAGTTAAAAAATAACTTTAATTGACTAGTCAACTATTTACATTTGTATTTTTATGATTTTTACATATTACATATACTCATATAAGAGTATGTAATTACGTCCATATATCGAGTAATTACCAATAATATAATAAAGATAATTATGGTAATTGATCAATTAATAAGATAAGTAATTGTGAAGGCCACATAATATTCTAAATGATTTCAGTCACAAAATACATTTCAGTCACAAATAGCAAGTTTGTGTATTTAAATATTTACTTTTTAATTATTTAACATTATTTTATTCACTTGGTGAGGTGCACAAATAGCAAGTTTGTGTATTTTGTGACTGAAGTGTTTGTGACTCTAGCATTTCTCTATTCTAAATGATTATTTATTATGAGCATTCGATGAGAATGGCCATAATTTAATATTCATTTTAGTTTTAAACGGTAACTATAGCAGATAAGTACATTCATTGAATATGTATTCAACTCAAGACTCCCATTATATTAATCATAGTGCAATGTAAATTTAAAACATAAGTGAATATATTTAGGATCAATTGAAAAGTAAGCTCTTTAGATTTAGGCATGCATAAACATATTTAATGACATATAAATTAATATAAAATGTCAAGTTCTTACATTGTAAAGTGCCAATGATGGTACTCCCACTGTTCTTGACTATTTGTCCACTTTTGACTTTTTCAGTTAAAATTGGAAAACTTTGACCTCAAATTAAATTAAAATGATAGTATTAGATATTGATACAAAAATAGTTTTATTAGATTTATTATAGTGAAATTTGCACTGAATAGGACTAAAACACAAGTCATTTTCCAATGTAGGACTTAAACTTTTATATTCATTAAATAGGACTTAATAATGACTAGTGAGAAAAATAATGTCCAAGTAATGCTGGACATTTAGTTAAATAATGACTAATAGATAATGACCAATGGTCCTATGTTGGAAAATAAAAATATATGGTCCTATATTGAGAAAGTCATTACTCCGTATATTTCAATCCTATTTAGGTAAATTCAAATATTTCAAATATTTTCAAAATATTATTTTATCTAATTAATATACAATATACTCCCTCCGTGCATTAATTACTTTCTCACTTTCTTTTTTGGGCTATCCAAAAATTTCTTTCTCGTTTTCTATATAATGAGTAATGCTAGAGTCACAAACAAACAGTTTACAAAATTCATAAACTTGTCTTTTTAACACTTTCCTAGAAATAAGATTCACTCAAATAATAATAAAAGATATTTTAATTTAAATTCCACAAAAGACAAGTGTGTGAAGTTTGTGAACTATATGTTTGTGACTCTAGCATTTTCCATTTTAGAATTTTTTTTAATGAATGTGCCATTATACCCCCACTTTTTTTGCTACACTGTTCACTTTATTTTATCATATCAAGGACAACACATGGAAAGTCTTTTACACTTTTTAACTTTTTCTTAATCTTCGTATCCAGCCAAACCCGGAAATTTTTTTGGACAGAGAGAGAGTATATATATATATTTTTTAATTAATTATAGGTCAAATGTTGAAGACAATTGGCCAAAAAAATCAAAACTAGACATATACTCAGGGACGCATGTAGTAATATTTAGGGGATAAAAATATAAAAATATTGGTCTGATATGTATTTAATCTTTTTTGTTTTATTTAGGTGGATTTCTTTAATGAATTTCTTGAGAGTGAATCAAATTTATTTTCAGAATAAGAACAAAAACAATTAGTGGAATGAAACAATAGTCCATACGGAGTACAGTATGTTTTTTTAGGAAAAAGGAAGAAATTAAGAATTAATAACATGACATAGTTGTTTCAAAAAAAAAAATAACATGACATAGTACATTAGTATACATACGTTGGGGAGGAACAAGAGTTCATATGTACTCCTTATTTCATTCATTTTGGTCCTATTCAATACAAATTTTACTCCATTTTAAATTTTTCTTCCATTTTGAAATTAATATTTTTATTTGCGTATAAAAAATCTTTATTTTGTGTCCCACAAAGTTAATCATTTTTCTATTAAAAAATCAATTTTATACGTACTAATTCTCAGCCTACCTATTAAATCTATGATACCTATTTACTAATAATAAGCTACGTATCACATTCTACTTTTGTCCATCAAATCAAGGATATTTTTGAAAAGTCAAAATAAAACTATTTTTCTTAAATTTCCTAAAAGTCAAAAATGATTTTTTCTATTAAAAATTATTTTTATCCATATTAATTCTCACCTTACCTATCACATCTATCATACTTCCTCCGTCCCAAAAAGATTTACACCTTTCAAAAAAATTGTGTCCCACAATCTCCTACCCAAATCTATTAAAAAACCACTTTTACCCCTTACTTTTTCAAACCTTACCTATCACATCATACCTTTTTCCTAATAATCTACACATCATATCATATTTTTACCCATCACATCAAGGATATTTTTGAAAGTCAACACAAAATTATCTCTCTCTTAATTTCTACTTTAGTCAAAATAGGTAACACTTTATGGGACGGAGGGAGTACCTTTTTACTAAGGAAAAATTACCCAAAATAATCCCAACTTTATCCGATCTTTCAAAAATAATCCCACATTTCACTGTGATGCATAATAATCCCAACTTTATTGAAATTTGTCAGTTTTGGGTCGCCGTTAAGTTTCTAACGGAGGGTTAACGGAAATGCCCGTTTTAGAGAACAAAATGAAAGTTGGGATTATTTTTGATTAATTTTTGTTTTTTAATTTTTTTTGAAATTTTTATTTAAATTTTTTGAATTACTTTCAACCTCCATTTCTTTTTTTAAAGGTTATTCTTACTTTAGAAAAAAATAGATATAAAAAATAATGAAAATGAGAAAAATAACTAAAACCATACAAAATTAATCAAATAAATAATGTAATCAATAGAAATTAAACAGAAAATGGTAAAAAATAAAATAAATATATACAAAGTGGTGGGTTTTAACATTTTACGCACTATACGGAGTCTTAATCTACAACTTATTTTTTAATTAAAAGAACAAGCTGTCCGGTAAATTTGGAATTATTGTAGTTAATTTTTTCTAACAAATAAGAAGTGATATGTTAATACTTTGTATAATGCGTAAAATATTAAAACCCACCCGTTTATTTTTATTTTACTTTTACCAGTTTCAAGTTAGTTTCCGTTGATTACCTTATTTATTTTATTATTTTTGTATAATTTTAGTTACATTTCTCATTTTTTCATTTTTTATATCTATTATTTTTATTTTTTAAACTAAGACTAATATTTAAAAAAGGAAAAAGAAATGATGATGGAGGTAGAAAGTAATTTAAAAAATTTAAATGAAAAATTTTAAAAAAAAAAAAAAAAAACAAAATTCATCCAAAATAATCCCAACTTTCATTTTGTTGCCTAAAACGGGCATTTCCGTTAACCCTCCGTTAGAAACTTAACGGCGACCCAAAACTAGAAAATTTCAGTAAAGTTGGGATTATTATGCATCACAGTGAAAGGTGGGATTATTTTTGAAAGACCGGGTAAAGTTGAGATTATTTTAGGTAATTTTTCCTTTTACTAATAAGCTACCCATCACATCAAAGATATTTTCGAAAAATCAAAACAAAAATATTTTTCTTAAATTTCTTAAAAGCCAAAATAAGAACAACTTTATGGAGATAGGAACTATAAAAAGAGGAATTTACTTAAATATCACTAAAACATAATGACTTTCTCTAAATAGCACCACATGTGTTTTCCTTCCCAATGTAGCACTTTTAGTCATTATGCATTAGTCATTATTCAAGTAAATATTTGCCATTATATGACATTATGGACATTATTAAGTGCTATTTAGGAAATAAAACAATTTAAGTGCTATTTAGAAAATTGACTTAAGTTTTAGTGCTATTTAGTGCAAATATTTCCTATAAAAATGAAGTTTAAGAACTATGTTTAAAACTTAATTTTATGATATTACATTTACAGAATTTGATCAAATTTGTGATTCAAGGAAATTGTTTTATTGTGATTCTAAGATCCACATATGAAATGTGAACCTTCTCACAAATTATTCATGAGCTTATAAATGGATATTTTTATTTTTACAAAGCCTAATACATACAACTATTTTATGTATTAAGGTTTATATTTTAAAAAAAATTAAACATCAAAATTCAATGTGGGAGAAAGGTACTCCCTTTGCCTCACAATATTTGTCAGAGTTACTATTAGAATCATAGATAATTTTTGTTTATTTGTATTCTATATATTTTAATTAATTATTTGATAAAATTAAATATTCTAATCATATTTTGTTTTGTAAAATTTTTGAAATATTTTTGAAATGCGTAATTTGTAATTTTTATTTCTATACGAAGTTATATTTAAAATAGTTTTAAAAATGAAAAAATTTTACATGTTGACCAGTAGAGCAACATACAAATTTTTTTGAAACAATAATCTCCATGAGGGATCAATCATCCAATTCAAACACATGTCATACACGCAAAAAAAAAAAAAGACATTCAAAATCGTGTTACACAACCAGGAAAACAAAAGGGAAACTAAAAATCCAAAATCATCCATTGTGTTGCACGGCGGCGGAGATCGGAATAGGGGAGCGGCAATACGGGCAAGACATATTGCGCACCAACCACTCCACGATGCAACGCTCATGGAAGCGGTGCAAGCAACCGGCCAACCCCGCCACCACCGAACCATCCCACAAATCCCCCAAACAAACTCCGCAAGTCACGGCCTCGCCGCCGCAGTCTTCCATCGCCACCCTCTCTATAGCCTTCTCGACCACCGCCTTCATCCGGAGCTCCATCACCCTCTGCGGCAGCCCAAACACCGATTCCTTCCAGTTCCTCCCAACATCATCCCCATTCCTCCTCTTAATAATAGCTTTTCTCTCGTCCTCCCCCAAAATGGCGTACTTTGTAATCCTCAAATCACTAATCCCGGGTACACGATTTTCTCCGGCCGTCACATTCCGGAGAAACTCGTGGATGAGGACGGTCATGTTGTCCCAGTCAGCGACGGGCATCTCACGCCCGTCGCTGGTTTTGGAAACGGTTTTCCCGTCAGCGACGGATAACTGATTACACCATTCTTTACTGGGTCCCGAAACGCAGTTAAGGACGGGTACCAGATAGTCGTCCTTATTCGTGGTGGAAAAGCCCTTCCACAGAAGTTTCACTCCGCTGAGGCTGAAAGGTAAGTTCATGTGGTCGACCAACCAGTTAACGATTTCGACTCCGCGGAGGCTATAAGTGACGTTCATGAGGTCGACCGACCAGTTGGAGGAATTGCCGCCGCCGCCGCGGCTCAGCCGAAACTCGTAGGCGGTTTTGTACCGTAGAACGCTTTGAAGAAACGAGAGAGGTTTAGGATTGGGAGGAGAGGGGTGGATTACGCGAACGGTGATTCTGACGGGGAAACGGCCGCCGTGGGGTGCCGGAGAACAGTCCCCCGCCGCGCGAGGTAAATTTAAGTGGATTCCTTCGACAGTTACGTAGCTCGACAAGCCGTCGTCCGCCGTGGGGTTGCCGGAGGGCGGCGGCGTTTCTGAGGCTATTTCTTTCATGTTTTGGGAATTTTGTTGTGATGCTTAATTGACAGATGAGTTAATGAATGAGTGAATGGAACGGGTGTATTTATAGGTTTAAAGGGTGTAGGACATTCCTAATCCATGCAGGAAATCATTTAATTAAATAAGTAAACTTAAAGGTTCGGTTTAACATTCGTAATTGGATTTTCAAAAGAAAAAAAAAAGACGGAGTTTCCTAATCCCTAAAAAAATCACTACTTCGTTATGACTAATTGGTCCGTCCCTGAGTGTTTGTTCACTTTTGACTTTTAGAATTGTTCATCTAAGCACTTTGACTCATCAAATTCTCTCAATGTGTAAGTCTAAAAATAGTCATGTGTGATCTTGTTTGATTCGTCTTAACATATAGATTATTAATATATACTGTAATTTTTATAATTTTTTAATATATACAAATTACAAGATAAAATGGATTAAAGAATTGCATTGGATGGTATGCAAAAATGAAAATGGACAAACACTCAGGGACAGATGGAGTAATAATTACTCCGTATTTTACGGAGTAGCTTTTAGAAAGTCGAGAACTAACTGTTTTTAAGGTACTCTTCAAGAATTTTGTTTTCTAAATTTATAAATTGCATTCTTATAATCTTATGTTTTGAGTTAAATATCAAATCCCTTATTTCTTGGAACGAATCCTCAAGTCACTTTGTACCTCTTTTATAGTCTAACTACGTTTAACTCATTTCGTTTCACTATATTCAGTTTCACATAGTTACAAATTATTGATAAAAGCGTTAGCACCACAGAGACTACATGATTAGTCAAATTTAATCGTGAATCTTATAGCAATCTCAATTTCACTATAGGATTTGTGAATAAATGCATTGAATGACGCGAGACACATGTGGGGAGACCCACACGTACGGTTTGAAGGAAATTTGATTGAAAAATCAACCAGTACCGACCGGTTAGAAGGATTGAGAATTTAACAATGTAAAAAATTATAACTTATCTCACCTTATTCAGATAGTTCAAAGGGCAATCGCAGGGTGGCACACAGCTGGCACTAAGTGAAGTCCTTCGTTTATTTTGGAGGTGCTGACCCGCAGCGAGGAAGAGATTACTAAGTGACATATAGAATATGTCGACGACAACAACATGTTGTAGAAGGAGATAATAACAAGTGGAGCCAACAACCCACTAAGACTAACCTATCTACACCTACACATCTCCGTGTGGCAGTCAAACAAGAGGGAATGCGAGATTCTAGCGAAATGATCGACCGAACAAAGGCTAGGGTTCTTTCTTTCCCATTGCGTCATTGATTGCGTGTAAGAGATACTTCCTCCATCCCAAAAAAATTTACACCTTTCAAAAAAATTGTGTCCCACAATCTCCTACACATTTCTATTAAAAAATCACTTTTACCTTTTACTTTTTCAAACCCTACCTATCACATCATACATTTTTCCTTATAATCTACCCATCACATCCTACTTTTACTCATCACATCAAGGGTATTTTTGGAAAGTCAACACAAAATTATTTCTCCCTTAATTTCCACTTTAGTCAAAATGTGTAAAACTTTTTGGGGCGGAGGAAGTATAAAGTTAGTGCACCAACGAGTACATATAGGGTCATTGGGTCAATCTATTCTATGAGTAAATGTGGAAAGCCAATTGTCTTTTCATTTTGTAGTAAAGAAAATTCTTGGACAAAGAGCATTAAATTAGAGAAAAGTTTAGTTGAGTATTACGAAAACATAAGATATAAGGTGTTGATCACGCCCATCAGGTTATCTCTTCCAAGTACTCAGCTTCACATCAACTTTTCTCTTTCCTATCACTTCCTATCACTGGCCAAGGGTGTAGCCGTGTGGATCACGCCCGTCACATTCATCCCTTTTTTGTTTATATTTTAATTTAAACTATTTAAACTTAAAATATAAAATAAAATTCTCATTCATATTAAATCTATTAAATCTAAAATTACAATGGCAAAAGAAAATGAAAGTACATAATTAAATAAAAAATTCCTTGATTTTACTTTGCTTAATTTTATAATATTTAATTAACAAAAAACTAAAATTGAAAACCAATAAAAATAAAAAAGTAAAAAAATAAATAAAAAAGTGGACAAAAAGAAAAAAATGAAATGCCTAAAAGTTTTTCTCCTTTGTATTTAATTCACCACATTAGAAGTATGTACATGTTGGTTCATGTAATAGTATGAAATACTCCTAAATAGTTTGTAATTAGTTGTAATGTGATAAAGAAGATTCTTGCAACATGAATGAATGTGACAAGAAGATTGATTATGAATCCACAAAAATTATATGCACCAAAGAAGCACTCTTATTATCAATCTACAAATCATATCTTACTTTTACCTTCATCACATCAAGATAATTTAAAAAATTAACATAAAAATATCCTTAACATTAAAGTCTGAATAAAAGGAAAATTTAATTTTTTATATTTGAAGACAAGGACAAGGATATGAGAAAAAGAGAGAGCAACAATATGAACTCATGCACAATAAATTAAGGCATAAAAAAGAAAGAAAACAAACATAAGAAATTGGGATAGATGAATATGTTTTAGTATAGTTCAAGAATAAGTGAAATGAAAATCCATTATTCCATATCTAACCATACAATCATAAGTACACAATCTAAGCCTGTTTTGTTCTACTGAGTGCTTTCTTCCTTTGCCCAAGCATGTAGTTGTACATGTGAGGGCTACCTGCAATGAAATGAAGTAATTCTAGGTGAAGATCAAAGCAGTATATAAAACTTCATAGACAGCAATTAAAATGACTACAAAGCCCTTGCCTGGAACATAGATGGCAAGGACAACAAGTGCCAGGTAGTAGTAGTCAAAAGAAAAGTTCAATCTGTTTGGCATCCATAGTGAATACTTTCCAGATTCCTGCAAATAATATTGCCAGGATCAATAAAACATATGTGATCTTCATTGCACAGAAAACTGTTCTAAAATCCCCTAAATGCCCTGCCCGGTAAACCGAAAACAAATTTGACCCAAAACACAGTCATTTTGACTTTACCTTGATGTAAAGAAGTGATTTGTATATTAAACCAACTTCGCTTGTGATGCCACTTGGATACAGCAAGATGAAGGTGCTATACCTGCATTGGATAGATGATAAGGGTGGAAAGGGAATGGAAAATGCATTGCCTTGCTGCTGTATATTTATTGTGATACAATGTGTATATACCTAAGCCACAAGAGCCATGAAGGTGCAGATCCAAATGTCTCCTTTGTGCCAAAGAACGAATATCGGATAATCTGCAGAGGAAGAAAGTAACATATTTTTTACCATGGGTATAATCAATAACCAGCAATGAGACTGGGAAATGCAGTAAGCCAGTAACAAATTGTTGTAGTAACATAAGCATCATAAAATCCCATCTTATAGTTCATGTGAAATCTTTGAATCGAAGAGAGATAAGAACAAATTCATCTCTGCTTTGATTCACTATCACGAAGAAATTATCTCATCTCTCTGAAAATCTGATATCAAACAATGATGCACAAGCTATATATAAACACACATACAAACTGATAGAAAGGAACTGAAGAAAACGGAACAAACATAACACAAATCCTCAAATCCAGCTGTCCACAATAAGCAAAGCATCCAGCTGGCAGTTAGTGAGTATCCATCACACCACCCCCCCCCCCCTGCAAGCTGGGAGGTGGTGAAACCATCCCCAGCTCGGACAACGGATGAGATGAAAATGATCAGCTGGCATGATCTTGGTAAGAGCGTCAGCAAGCTGGTTTGCAGTAGGCAAGTATGACAACTCAATAAGCCCTTCAAGGACCTTTTCCCTGGTTAAATGGCAATCAGTCTCTATATGTTGGTCCTCATGAAAATCTGGATTTCGAGGTTGTGCACACAAAACTCCTCCATTAGGTGAACTAACCATGTTACTTCAGAAACCACCAGGGACATGCATGGCTCTTTATTCAGCCTCTGAGGATGATTTGGAAACAGTACTTTACTTCTTAGATTTCCAGGTGATAGGAGAAGCACCAAAGAGAACAATGTAACTTGTGACACTTCTCCTGGAAAAGGGACATGCTGCCCAATCTAAGTCAGAAAAGGCATGGAGATAGTTGATCAGACCCTTTCATCAAAATGCCTAAATTGATAGTCCCAGTTAAGTTGTGAAGAACATGAATGGCGGCACATTGCATATGGGATTCATCTAGAGACTGCATGAATTGACTTCAAATTTGAACAGAGGATGCAATGTCCGAACGAGTATGAGTGAGAAAATTTAACTTTCCAATCAGACTTCTATATAGCTTGGAATCAGTAGAAGGAAAAGAGGAATTGTGCTGATATTTGGTGTGCTGAGGAAGAGGGGGTTTCACTGGTTCGATATGAAGACATTGATGGTCAGCAAGTAATCTTTGGGTGTATTTCCTTTGGGAGAAAACAATTCCATCAGGGGTGTAAGTCAGTTAAAAACAAAGTAATGAGCAAGACCTAACTCTTTGATAGTGAAAGCATCATCAAGGAACTTCTTGAGAGAAGCAATAGCTGAAGGGTCTGAACCAGTGACTAAAATATCATCTACATAGACAGAAGCAATAGTGATATGATTATGATCGTATTTAAGGATTAAGCTGGAGCCACATTTGGACTGAGTATATCCTTGGCTGTGAAAGGCCGTGCTCAACTTAGAGAACCATTGTCTACTAGCTTTCCGTATGCCATACAGGGACTTTTTGAGGCAATACACCTGATTGTTGGGGTTAGGAAAACCCATAGGAACTTTCATGTAAACCTCTTCTGTCAAGTCACCATGCAAGAAAGCATTGTTGACATCTAACTGAAAAAGGTTCCAGATTTGGGAGGCAGCTAGAGCAATAAGACATCTAAGAGCAGACATATTAACAACAGGAGAGAAAGTTCCAGACTTCCAGTGAAACCTATCCCATATTTCTGATGATTACCTTGTATAACAAGTCTGAATTTGAACCTTTCTGCTTCCATCAGCCTTGAGTTTAACTTGGTAAATCCACTTATTGGATATAGCCTTGCGGCCAGGAAGATTAAGGATGCATTAGCTGGTAATGCTTCTATTTCTTTGTTCATAGCAATAACCCAACATGGATCCGTGGAAGCTTCAGAAAAGGATGTAGGTTTGGTGTAGGAAAAAAGGTGGGTGAGAAATGCTTTATGGGCAACAGGAATGGTGTCTAAGTGAACAACATGACACCAATGTGTGTGACAAGCAGTATATTGAGGCTTGGTATTTAGGGTGGGACAATCATATTGGGTGAGATTTGAAGGTGGTCTACCGTTTCTTTTAGAGACCCTGGAAGAGGAAGGAAGAATAGAAATTGGAAAAGTGGGATCAGGTGAAAGAGTAGAAATTATAGGAGTGGGTGAAGAAAGAGTAGAATCAGTGGGAGATGAATCAGTAGTAGAAGGGAAAAATATGTTCGAGAGGTCAGAAGGAAAGGTGGGTAAAATGGGAGAACTGGAGGGTGATATATGGTGGAATGGGTAATAGTGTTCATGAAATTTGACATCTCTGTTGTAATGAAAAATTGCTTGGTGTGCAAATTGAGAAGTTTATAGGCTTTCTTATTAAATGGATAGCCTAGAAAGACACAAGAAATTGCAAAGGTGCAAATTTAGTTCAACGAGAAGAGGAGATGGCTGCAAAGCATAAACAACCAAAAGATATGAGGTGGGTATATGTGGGTAAAGTTTGAAAGACAATCTCATAAGGAGTTTTATTTTAAAGGATAGAAAGAGGAAATTTGTTGATAAGATAACAAGCAGTAAGCACACAGTCACCCCAGTAGTTAAGAGGGAAATTTGGCCTGAAAAAATAAGGCTCTAGCAGTCTCAAGAAAATTGTGCTTACGCTCTACAACTCCATTTTGTTGAGGGGTGTCAACAAAAGTAGTTTGGTGTAAGAGACCATGAGAATGATAAAAGGGATGGGCAGTAGTGTCATCATACTCTTTACCATTCTCTGAATGAATGATTTGGACAAAGATATCAAACTGTTTTTGGATATAAGAGATATAAGTTGTGAGGGCTGGAAAGGCACCAGATTTGTGTGAAAGAAGTTGGACCCAAGAGATTCGAGAAAAATCATCAACAATGGTCACAAAAAATCTTTGACCAATATATATTGGTGTATTTTAGGGGCCCCAGATGTCAACATGCAGTAATTCAAAAACAGAAGTACTCTTTATTGAACTTGGAATAAAAGACAATCTATGCATTCTAGCTTGAGGACAAATATGGCATATAGAAGAACAAGAAGAAGCACAATAAATTTGTTCAATGCACTTTATTCTATTGAATGGTGAATGATCAAGTCTACAATGCCACAGTTCAAACTTTGTCAAAGAGGTAATAGAAGAATTAAGAGTGGTGTGGGAACTTGAAGAAGAGCATTGCTCCACAATGTATAAACCAACATTCTGTTTACCAACCAGCAAAGAATTCTTTCTTTGTGGATCCTGGAGTAAACAGTGAGAATGGTGAACAACAATTTGACATGAGAGTTGTGAGACAAACTTAAGAACAAAAAGCAGGTTGTAATGAAAATCTGGGACATGCAGAACATCAAAAAGTTATAACCCATTCTGTAGGATCAAATTTCCTGTGTATGACTCTAGCTTTTTGCCCATTAGGTATAGTGATGAAACAAGGATTGGGCAGTGGAGAAGTTGGTTATATGAGGAGTGATATGGTCTGAACTCTGAAGCTCCACTGTCAATGATCCACTGAGTGTTATTACAAGAAGAAAGAAAGCAAGAAGTAATACCTGCTATACGACCACTGGAAGCCAGATGAGCAGAAAGAAAACCAGGTGCAGAATTCTCCTCATGATCATGAAAGTTGTCTCTGTTCAAAATGCTAAGGAGTTGTTGATATTGAGAGGAAATAAGAGAAACAGGGAATTCACTGGACTGATTGTCAGGAGTAGAAGCTGCAGATCCCATTCCATCTCCTTTAGAGTAAACATTACTAGCCATATTTTTTCCTTGAGTGAAATTATTGTTCCCTGCTGGTGATGAGTTCCCTTTATTGGATGGGGGATACCCATCCATTTTGAAACATCTCTCAATGGAGTGTCCATAAGCCTAGCAGACCTTGCAGTGTTGACAGAAGAACTTAGACTTCTTTCTTCTTGGGGTTATGCCAAACACAGGTTTGCTATGATGTGACACAGTGGATGTTGTATGTTGAACTGATGCTAGAGCAGTAGAGAGCAGAGCAGCAGAATCACAGGCCAGAGGTGCGATGGTGGTGAAATCCCTTTGGGCTCTCATCTTGAGTGATCAACTTATGAGCTGGATTGAGATTAGGAAGAGGCTTCATCATTAGAATATTACTCCTAGCAGTCTTGAAAGAATCGTTAAGCCCCATTAGAAACTGCATCAACTGTTGATCTTGAAGTATGTTGGTATAACTCCCTGTTGAAACGCACCTGCGATTAGGCAAGGACACTGGAGTGAAATAAGTGTCCCAGAGTCCTATCAGTTTTGTAAAGTATTCAGCTACAGAGTCTGTTCCTTAAGTTAAGGTGACCATTTCTAAATGCAGCTGAAACAATCTTGGAGCATTAGTCTGGCTGAATCTCTCAGATAAGTCATTCCAGATATCGTGCACAGAATCACAATACAAGATGCTAGTTGCAATAGCAGGTTCAACCGAATATAAAATCCAAGAAATAACAAGGTTGTTGCAGCGATTCCACTGAGGAAGCAAAGGAGAACCCATCGCTCGTGCTTTACATGTGCCATTAACAAAACCTAATTTGTTCTTTGCACTCAACGCGATCTCAGCAGACCATTTCCATGTCGAACAAATTCATGCAGTTAATTTTTGAGTAGCGAGAAGGAAGCTAGGCAAATCAGAAGGATGAATATACAATTCACTTTGAACATCAATTGAACTGCGATTTGACAAAGAGTTACGTTCGTCCCCATGAGAACAAAGAAGAGATTTCAGATCTGCAACGCGGTGAGGAAGATGATGATGAACTTCAGGTTTCCGAATCACACGGCTTTGATACCATGTTAAATCAATGAATCAAAGAGAAAGATAAGAACAAATTCATCTCTGCCTTTATTCAATATCACAAATAAAATATCTCATCCCTCTGAAAATCTGATCTCCAACAATGATACACAAGCTTATATAAACATGTATACAAACTAATAAAAAGGAAGCGAAGAAAACAGAACGAACATAACAGAAATCCAGCTGTCCAAAATAAGCAAAGCTAAGCATCCAGCAGCCAGTTAGTGAGTATCCTTCACAGTTCATGCTTTTCTTTTGATATTGTCATGCATCACAAATAGACATTAATCTTCTTAGGCAATTAAAAAGGTAATGGTCCACGAACAGACATGAATCTTCTTAGTCAAATAGTTCATGCATCACAAATAGACATGAATCCTCTTAGACAAATAGTTCATGCTTTGATTCTTTCCATGGTCCACGAACATAATCAAAGGTAATGTTCAAACTCTCACCTTGAACAGACAGTTGGTTTCAGATTTTGTATTGTCAAAACTCCAAATACTATGTAGGGTATCTTTCTTCTCGTTTTCCTTTTTGGGTCGTCCAATGTATTTCTTCTTGATTCATAAATGACAAATATATTACACCATATAGACTAAGTTAACCTTCATCCCTTTTTATTTTCTCCCTTCTCCCTCACACAGCCATGTTCTCTGTCTCATTGCTGCCCCCAACTCAGCAGTCTCTGCCGCCCCACCTCCACCATCGTCAACTCTCTCTTCATCGAACTCTACCGTCTTTCGTTCTCTCTTCCTCCATGATACATGTCTAAGAATGTACACTCCTAATTAAGTAAAGGCACGAATGATTGAAGATTAAAATTATTGCCCAGGCACTTCCAATTTCTTATTGAAGATTGAAATTAAATGCCGATGAGGAAGATTGAGATTGTTTGAGAGACGCCGATGAAGAGGGCTAAATCGCGAAGAAGGACGTCAGTGATTTACTTTCTCCTCTAGATCCACAAATGGAGAGATGCTCCTTTGTCGCTGCGTCGCCGGAGATGGGTCGGAGGGTAGCAGATTTGAATCAACTAAGATTGGTGAAGGAGCTCCGGCGAAGAAGGCGACGGCACTCTGATGGTGAAGGGCTAATTTGGATCTAGGTCGGGAATAGCCGAATAGGGGTACTTTGGGAAAGTCAAAGCAATTTTAGCATTTCATTAAAAACCATGCCAAATCAAAATGAGAAGAAATATAATGGATTGAGGGAGTATATGATTTTAATAAAGGCTGCATATAGATCAACAACACTTGCCTCTGTAATGGACCAGCTAATGACTAGAGAACTAACAAATACATGGGTCTGAACCTGTAATCAATGAAAATTCTATTAGTGCCAAATTATTGAATATCAAAATACAAAAGTTAAAGGAAATAGCATGCATCAACTTCACCTCGGGGAAGCTATATAAAATCCCCCAAGTAACATATATTCTTGAGCTTATCTGTGGAAATGTTGCTGAAATTGGAGATCTCACAAGTCCTACACAAAAGATGACAGGGAAAATAGTAAGAGTTAATTTTATTTTAACTTGGAATTTTCTCTCAACAAAAAGATTTTTAGCTTTGAGTTGTGGACTCACCTACTAAACCATGAAGTATCTTTTCCATAATTGTTTTTGGCAAAAAGAGAAGGATCAAAATGTCAGTTTTCTGTTAATAGAATTGGTAGGAAAATTGGTAACACTAAATGGTAACAACAACAAACTCATTGCAATCCCACAACTAGGGTCCGAGGAGCGATGTACGCAAACCTTAACCCCGCCCATCAGGGGCAGGCAGTTTCGGATTGACCCTTGGCTCAAAGGGGATAAATCAAATTAAGTTGGCAAGAAAACAAGCAAATACTGTTAATGGCATGTTTGGGAACATAAATTTGGATTTCAAATTCAGATTAGATCCAAATTACATGTTTGAGAATCCAAAACAATTGATTTTGATTTGGGCCAAATTCCTCCAATTCCCAACAAAGCTAAAATATAAATCCACACACCCTCTTGTAACTTGAAATCCAAGAATTCAAATGTATTCCTAGTTTCCAAGCACGACCAAAATAAAAGTAAGACAACATTTTTCATTAGTTTCAAGATTAAGCTTTAGTGTATTTGAAAAGATATCCAAATTTAGCCTTTAGATTATCGTTTTCACAATTAATTTGCACAATTGAGATGTCTAAAGATGGGACAGATACTATATTGAATAATTGAAAACAACTGAACAGAAATACACTCAATGGCGTGCCCTAAGCATTCCTTAGTAGCATTTCCACAGTTCAAATGGCAAAAATTACCTCCAATAAGGCGGCAGTTTGAGCAAAAAGCAGAGGCTTTTCAACTGCTCGGTAGACATGTTCGTGCCCAGACTCTCCGAGAGTCTTCACAGAGAGATAAAACACTTGAACCCTAAAACCCAATCACCAAAATCAAATTCTTTTTTCTGATTGAAAAAGGAGAAATTGAATGAAAACACGGAGATCTGGAAAAAGAAACGGTGGTGGTATTGAACTTGCCATCCCATAAAGACGGCCCAATTGTAAAGCGCGAGGTACGCGCGTCTCAAGCCTGAGAATGCTCCGTCTGCCATTGGAGAACGATTACTTGCTTGGATCCGCAGCTTAGTTCAGATGAGCTGGGAGAACGGTGACTGGCGATTCAGTGAAAAAGCAAGAAATATGGTGCGTAGTTAAACAGATCACCCAACTTGTGATCTTAATGCTTTCTCTCATTTATCCCAACGCTCAACTGCCACGGAACTGTGTCGGTGGTGCGGAATTAAAACCAGAGGGAAGAGGGGAGAATGTGATTTGGAGTGAGTGCAGGTACAAGTTGGAAGTATGCATTTTCACTGGATACGTTAAAAACAATCTTATATTGAAATACCTTAATTATCCAATATTACGTAGTATTAAATAAAATTACATTCACCAGAAAATCCTATAATATTTTCAAAACAATTTGTGGGCAAATCATGATCTTTGTCCCTAATAATGTCAAGAATAACTTTCTTAGCTGATTCCCAAATCCTAACTTAGCAACCTTTAATAAACTTTTTATGGTAGGCTAATAACACGAATACTTCACATGCTTTCTCGAATGAGTTATGTGCAACATTGTTAACTATCCTCAAACTCTTATAATTTGTACATCATCACTCGATAGTTAATAGCGAGCTATTCTGTAGACGCGTGTTGTAACCTGCCTATTGATGCTATTTGTTTTGATTATTGTTTTTGAGTATGAGTTCTCTTTTTTCAGTTTTAAAATACGGAGTATATTATATAATTTAAATATTTTCTAATAATGAATTAAAACATAAAAGTTTTTAAACACGATTATGTTTAGACATTTATGTGTAACAAATATGAAATTTAATATCCATAGAATAAGGTTTTTTTGGTTAACTCATCTTAAAATATTACTTGTTGACATGGCATGCTGACATGTCAAAAAATGCCCAATAGACGCACCACATGTCACAATTCTAGAATCAAAATTCTCAAATTTTATATATAAAGATTAGTGAAGATGTTATAATAATATAATTTTAAAAGATAAAGAGTAGATGCTCGTGGTTACTCCGCATAAGTTAGTTTATTTTTACACTGTAATACAATTATTTGTTTTTAGTTAAATTTAATATTTTTCTAATAAATATAATCTTTAATTTTATGAGTTACTCCATCATCTTGTTCTGCTTGTCTTATCCATTGTTCACAGAGTTAAATTGGATATTTTTTTACATGTTTTCGTCTATCATTTTATTAAAAATTATAGTCATGAAATCTCTTATTTCACAAAATATTTTATGTTATTTTTAAATCTACAATTTTAAGTTTTTATTCAACACCAATATTTAAATATATTTAAAAAATGCTCTAATTAAATACTCCGGGGTATTATAAACTGAAATGAGACAAAAATGTGACATACTACCTCTGTCCCATTGTCTTTGTCCATATTTGACTTTTGGAACTGTTCATCTAAGCACTTTGACTCATCAAATTCTCTTAATGTCTAAGCCTAAAAATAGTCATGTGTGATCTTGTTTAATTCGTCTTAACATATAGATTATTAACATATAATTTGTAGTATAATTTTTTAATATATAAATTACAAGATAAAATGGATTAAAGAAGTGCATTGGATGATGTGCCAAAAGGTAAGTGAACAAACACAGTGGGACGGAGGAAGTACTATTTAACTTAATGCTCGACATGTCGTGTCTTAATAAAATATCTTAGAGAGACGACCTCATTGGCCATTACCAACGCGGCTGGCGTTACGGGTATTTCCACAGCGCTTGGTAGTAAAGAACTCAAGAGTCAAGAGAGCGTCGGTGGGAAAAAATGGGTAAAATTAATTAGTTGTGGCCACCAGCTAATGTGTCTACAACAATAACAAAAACAACTAGCTCATGCATTTAGGATTGGCAGAGGGATTCTCAAATCTATCTTCTGTCTTTGACTTTTGAGTGGAGTTTTAGGCTTTGTTTGGAACGGCTTTTGAGATTATTTATCGTTTTGAATTATTTTTAATCATGTAAATTAATTATAATTAAGTACTACGATTGGATAATATTTTTGAAATACTGAAATAAAACTCTGAGCTTAATGTGAAATGGAACTTTCAAGGTTTAAAAGAGTTCAATGAATTAAAGTATAATACTCTCTCCGTCTCAAAAAGTTTGTTACGTTTAGAAAAAACTGCGTCCCGTAAAGTTCTTTACATTTCTATTAAAAAACCACTTTTACCCCTTACTTTTTCATACCCTACCTATCACATCATATCTTTTTCCTAATAATCTACTCATCACATCCTACTTTTACCCATCTCATCAAGGGTATTTTTAGAAAGTAAATACCAAAATATCCCTCCCTTAATTTTCCAAAAAGTAAAACCGTCTCATTCTTTTTGGGACGGAGGGAGTACTTGTTGGCTTTGTTGGAAACAAGGTTAATGATAAGTGTTAGTGTTTTCGAGGTTCAAAAGAGTTCAACAAACTTTTATCTCACCATCTCAAAATAATATTTTTACATATGACTTTCACACGATTCAAAAATGTGTTGAAAATTAAAGAAAAAATGGTTAAAATTAAAGTTGATAAGAAATTGTTAAATTTTATGATAATGAACATATTATCATTAAATATATTGCAAACAACATATTATTAAATATTATAATAATGAACCTATTTATTTCTCCTTCCGTCCACAAAGATTTTCCAGATTACAATGTGAATGGTCAAACTTCAATCACGATATTTGATTAATCTCACTATCTGTTTGATAAAATAAGATGTTGGTGTCAGCCTCTTAATTTGTAGATTTATTGATGAAGTTTTTTTTAAGTATGTATATTTTATTTTTAAAATTTACCCCCTTTTATCCCATATTCCCATAAATATTGAATGGAAAATAAACTCAATGAAAATATCAAACTTTGTTATACGTTAGAAAATGTTTTTTGGGATGAATGGAGTTGTTCGTCTCCGAACAAAATTTTCCATTATCATTTCAGAGTTATGGTAAATTTTATTTGTTATTTATTTTTATTGATCGTTTGATAAAATAATGCAATTAATCAATTGTTTTATAGATTTTTTTATTTAATTCTTAAATATATAAATTTTATTCATATTATTAATTTAATAGAAAATAAAATAATTTAGAAAATACAGACTACTCCCTCCGTCCCTGAGTGTTTGTCCACTTTCATTTTTGCACACCATCCAATGCACTTCTTTAATCCATTTTATCTTGTAATTTGTATATTAAAAAATTATAAAAATTATATATTAATAATCCATATGTTAAGACGAATCAAACAAGATCACACATGACTATTTTTAGGTTTACACATTGAGAGAATTTGGTGAGTCAAAGTGCTTAGATGAACAATTCCAAAAGTCAAAAGTGACAAGCACAAAAGTATATATCTGAACTCGTAATCTGTTTGATGGTTCGTAATTTTTTTTAATCTTTATTTTAGAAGGGAAAGAGTATGTAAATAATGAATATGGGTTGTACACTGTACTCACTACTCCGCAGAAGTTTTGTCTATAGCAAATTAGCAATCCATGCCTTTACAACATCACGGACTAAATAAACACAAAAGGCTACTTGTCGGCTAGCTTCTCTTTTAGAATCCTCTCGACTTATCTTAGGGTATCTTTGAATGGAGGAGAGGTAAAATTTTATTATGTAAATAATTGTAGGTAACTAACGATATGTAATGGAAAGTAGATAAAGTAAGGTAATATATTGAAAATTTGTGTTTGAATATTTATTAGATAATGTGAGGTAGGTAAAATAATAAAATTACTTAAATAATCTTGTGTTTGGCCTGACCGGATTTTGATATCGGTAGGCGAGCTTCTCTACAACAAACACCAGTTTTCCGACCACCATCATTGCCGTTATGAGTACAAATCCACCGACCGGGATGCCATCACCAAGGGTAAACACATATTGCCAAAAAAACAACTAAAAAATTGAAAAACAAAACAGTATATTTCAATATTGAAAAAAACAACAAAAATACTCAGAAATAAAATAATGAAAAATAGGATATTAAAACAAAAAACAAACAACAAAAAAATAACCAAAAAATGATATTTCAACAAATAGCAAAAAACCCGGAAATAAAATTGCAAAAAATAGGATATTAAATTAAATAGAAAAAAGAGCAAAAAACAGCAAAAAAAATTAACAAAAAAATATATTTTAATAAATAGAAAAAAAACAGCAAAAAAAAGTAACATAAAAAAAGGACAAGAAAATAGAAAAAAATTGCCAAAAAAGAAAAAATTAAACATAATAAAGGAGGAAAAGAGAATAGGAACAATCAACGGATGGGAGAATCCAAGAAGCTGCCGCTGCTGGGTCGTCGATGGTGATCTGCGGCACTAGACTGCTGCAGGATCAAGGAAAAGATAGGAAGAAGAGAAGGGCAACATTGAAGGATAAAATGTAACCTCGTTTCCCTAGGGATTCAGCGGACGACTTAATTCCACTATTACGATATTAAATTACCTCACTCTACCTCATCTTACCCGTCTTCATTTCTCCTCCCAAACAAGGTAAGGTTAAATATAGCCTTACACTACCTTCCTCTACCTCCATCCTAACACGCTGTTAACCGTTTATAGCATAGTTTTCAGAACCAGGCCGGCGACCGAACCGGTCTCAGTATTGATTCACTGGTTTACTGATCGAATCAGTGGTTCAAATGGTCAAACCGGTGGTTTAAACATTTTTTAAAATTATATATATATATATATATATATATATATATATATATATATATATATATTCACAAACACACACTCTCTCTTATTTATAAATACTTAGAGAAAATAATGTATAACATTTGACCAAATCTATATTAATTTACTTTAGTTATGTCACTAAGTTTAATAATAAAATTTACATATTTAAAAAATAATATTAAACATTTTATAAACAAAGAGTTGATTTTATTTTTTTTTCAAATAAATTATCTAATATTAAAAACACTGAAATGAAATCTTTGCATAATATTTGTAATTGTATCAATTATATTAATAATTCTAAGTTTGAATCATAGTTATAATATTATATTTTTTAAAGTTCTTAAAATGAAAAGAAATATTTAAACTTTTTTAATACGGAGTAATGTAATATTAAAAATTATAAAGTGAGCTTAAAACACAAAGACACTTTAGCTGATGAGATGGTTAGGGATTTAACTTTGGTAGGAAGACGTCTTGGCTTTGAACTCATGTGGGGTGATATTTTTTGGCTATTCGATCAACATAATGTCTATTCTGAAATAACACAGTTTTCATTCCGGAAATTACGCAATGTCCATTTTGAGATTTTTTTAAGGAAAAATTACAACAATACTCTAAAAATTCTCAGATTTTACAAAAATACTCCCAAAATTAATTAACTACACCATTACTCCCATGATTACTTTATTTTCACAAAAATACTCAAGTTGCCACCTTACATTAACAATCATATTGTGTAATATCTACATTACTTTTAAAGTGATGACTTGGAAAATAAATCATTTTTTTGTTTTCATACAAACAAAATAAATTACTAATTCTTCCTCCAACTCAAATATCATCCTCCTACTTTAAGGATTTGTTCTTTTGGTTGCATTGGAAAAGTTAATTTTTAATTTTTTCTAACTCTTTCTAATTTTTTTTCCAACTCCTTACAGTTTCATCGAACATTCAACATTAGAATTTCAACCAAAAATAACATATTCTAATTATGAGAGACGTGATTAATATTTCAGTTGGATGATGAATAAGTAAATTATTTTTATGAAAATTAAAAAAAAGTAAATTTTTAGATAATGACTTTAAAAATCATTTAGATATTATACAATTTTATTGTGCAAGTAAGGTGGTGGGAAGTAATTGTAAATAGAGAACAATTTTGTGAATAATGATGTAATTAATTGACTCTCAAAATATTTTTTGAAAAACCGTAAATTTGTTGGAGTATTTTTTGTAAATTTTTCTGTTTTTAATTACAAATTTATTATGATGTATCAAGAGAAACATCCGAATATACCATATGATAAGTTGCAATCACACGGATCATTAGAGAGCAAAAATTAATGTTTTTTTGTCGTGCATTTCGGAAAAGCATCGCCCAAAATTTTTTTTGTCTAAAAAAGTCATGAGAGAGTACGAAAGCAAAAGTCAGAAAAGCAAGGTAATTAATGGGATTTAAAGCATTCAGGCCCTCTCGTTTGATGCCACGTACACAGTTACCATATAACAACAAGAACAACAACAGTAGGATCTGGAGAGTGTGTGTTCGCAGACCTTGTCCCTACTCGAAAGTAGGGAGGCTGTTTCCAAGAGACTCCCGGCTCCACCTGCATAACAGTTACCATATAAGAGCATTGAAAATACCAATTGAGCCCCGAGCCTTCAAACCAGGGCTTCAAAACTTACTCACAGTTTCAAAGGAAATTAGTTTGAAGCAACAAGTCTTCAAATTTGGCTTCAAACTTTCATTTTTTACATTTAAATACATATTTTCTAAAAATAAATTAATAAATTTAATTATTTAATTACTATTTAAAAGAATTGAAACGAGAATAGTTCATCAAAAAAATAAGTTCATTAAAAAAATTATGTTGATTATAAAAAATTACATTCATTAAAATTACAATCTCTTCACCCATAAATAGATGTTATACTATGTTATTTGTTTATGATACATGATGGTGTAAATATAGCTAGGTCGGTTGACCGGGTTTGACCTGGACACTTGACCCGTAATATAAAACACACAACAAGAACACAAAATATGACCTAGACCGGGTAAATCTCCTCAGTCCGAAATATATTTCTTACTCCTCTCAAAAGTGTACTAGTTTTAGTGAGAAAGAATTTCTCCTCTCCTCTACCCAATATCATCATATTTATAGAGGATGATTTGTGACCTTCCCCTGTTTGGACAAAATAGGAAACCCGGAGGAAGGTCACTGTACATAATCAATCAACTGTTCAATCAATGAATCTAGCAACTACTAGCCAAGACACGCACTGTTCAATCAAGGACCATAAATGGATATTCTCAATCCAATCAGCCCTGCACAATGACAAATATCTCTTTCACTATTTGTCTCGTGATGGACGAACGGCGGGGTGGTCCCTCGCTCTTTGACGTGTCCTGAGATACTAGATCAACCTTTGTAAAGTAAGATGATATGACCGGTCACCTTCTCTCAAAGGTTGACCGGTGATTTTAGCCTTCTTGGGTTCTTCGCAACATTAGGTGACATTTTAGCTATCGCCCAAAATGTGACCGGTCACATTTTTAGTGGAAGTGACCGGTCAATTTTTGACCCGTCCCAATTGAAGATTTAACATCATTTGGTGATTGATCAAAATGACCGGTCATACTTTGACCTGTCCCTTTCGGTTGTCCGAGTCGGGTATAGGGATATACCCATCAATACATTTAAATAAAGTTGGTTTAATTATATTTATTTAAATAAATAATTTCTTCACCTATTAAAGTATTTCATATTTTTTTGACACCTAATAGTCATGGAAGAAAAATATTTATTTTTATGATAATATTCTTTTATAATTTAATGATTATTACTATCTTCATTCATAATATAACTTTCAATTATATAAAAAAACTTTCAATTAATAAATAAGATGTATTTTTATCTATAAATCAATGTCATACAAATATTTGTTTGTAATATGTTACAATTCAAACGCAGGCTAAAGGGACAAAAAGACAGTGATGTCATCACCAGACTAACAAGCGGCGACGACGGCGCAATGGAATACTTGATATCTCAAGCTATAGTGTTATGTGGCCAGAGTTCGACTTCGATACCATGTGGAAATATGGTTAAAACAAAATTTGATGATTTCATTAAACATAAACATGTTATTTATAATTGTTAGAGGACCATGACCTTACCCTAATTATGAGCCCATTACTTTAGCCTTCTTACCATCAAATCTTAAGACATAAACTAACAATAACTAAATTGGCAAACACGACAAACTGCACTTTAATGAAGTAAAAGTTCAAAAGTAGTTTTTAATTGTAACTTCAAACACCTTCTAATAGTTTTTTTACTACTCCCTTCGTCATAAAACGTTTTTCCCAGATATTATTTATACGGTCAAATTTTAATCATTTTTCTTTATTTATTTTTGTTAGTTATTTGATAAAATAATATAATATTGTCACCCTTATTTTGTAGATTTTTTGTAGTTTTTAAATATATAAATTTTATTTTTAAATTTTAAATCCACAAGCAAATAATTTAAATTAAAAATAAAATTGATCAAATCTCGTGAACAGAAATGATAAGAAAATTTTAGGACGGGGAGTAAAACAAGATCAAATCCAATCACAGAGTAAGAAACTCTAAGTGAGGTGCAATAGAGATTTGGTCATTGACTTTAATTTCTCTCATCGAGACATGGTAAGAAATCCATTAAATGTGAGTAATTAATTAAGGGGGAGCTGTAAGCTAAACCGTGTTCAATGATATGCTCACCGGTAGGAGTATAGTTGTACGGTACGGAGAACCATATACTCCTTCCTACCATATTCATTGATGTGGGGATGATGTATACATACATGTATGTATGTATGTATACAGAAGATTACAGATGTGAGCATCTTTTGTATGGGAGAGGAGGATATAGGTGTCCCATGTGAGATGCTTTTAATTTACTCCTCAACTCCTACGCCTATTCTTTTAAAAATATTCTTTTTTTCATAAATAGGGGTCAAAGGACATCACGGTTTGATAAAAAAAAATAAAATTGTATCAATCTTTTAAGGGTCAAAGAAGTATTTGATTTAAAATGGTTTTTAATTCAATTTATGACTAATGTCAAAAATCATTGTATCACTTGTAAGTGGACTCGCTCTCTATTACAATTATAGTCATCTTTAGCAACATGACAAAAAAATTATAGTACAATTTTAGCCTCAAATTAGCAACATGACAAAAAAATTAAAACAAATTATCTGTGAAAATGTATAAACCACAAAAATAATATTTAATAATTGAGAAACAAATATAAAAAAACATGTTAAGAAAGACCAAATATAAAATCTATTCTTTTACCAAAAATAGACTCACATTTTTCGAGGAGTATGAAAGGAATGAATTAATCATTTTACGGAGTATAATATTAAGGAGTATTATTGTAATAATAATAATCATCATCAGCATAATCATAATTATTAGTATGACTTTCTTCCTTCTTTCCACTGTCCATTCTTTCATTCTTCTTCCTTCTTCCCCCTCTCTCTATACCTCTTCTTCCATCAAATCTCTACTTTTCTTTCCTTAATAAGATTTCCTGGCCCAGTAGGTAAGCAATTTTTTCAAGGTCACATTGAGATCACTCAGGGCCACCGCCACCGCTTGCGGCAGCTGCTGCCGCCCACTCTCCGCCATGGCTTCTCTCTTGCTCCTACTTTTACCGGCACTGTTCCTCAATCCTTTATGCCATGCTTCTCCTTCCATTTCCAATGTAATCCCACTTTCTTTCTCTCTTCCTTTCTTTCTTTCTTTTTATTTCAAGAATATACTTAGATGGCTCCAGTGAAGTCGGTGATGTCTAAGAAGCAAATTAAAAAAGAAAAGAGGAAAAATACAAAAAAGAAGTTTCCAGTGACTCAAAGAATGTCATTTTGATATGCAAAGAGCAAGAAAAATGTTTTCTTTTGAGCATTGGTTGATAAACATTGCTGTTTTATTCTTATTTTTGTAAAAAAGATTGCTTTTTTTCCCGATTTTTGGGAATATTTCTCCTTTTAGGACTATAGAGGGACACCCAGTAATCCGACCCTTTTGAAGCTTCACATTTTAGTCGATTTTCACCCTTTTAATTCTTAATATTTTCCTGTGGAAGGTTACATGATAGATTGAGTTGGCTTAAGTGTTTCTTTTGGCCCCCTTAATTCAATTCCCCATTTCCAATTTCCATTGATCCAGTTTCAACCACATAATCAATCTAAACGAGGCCTCACTGTTGTAACTGAAACAAGAGTAGAGTGTTTTGGAAATATTTGGTCACTTTGTATGTAGAGAGAAATGCTTCTGACTCTCATAATCAATTTCCTTGTGTTTTGCAGGAATCAATTGGGCCAAAACCCAGGCACTCGAGCCTTTTCAAAAGCGCGTTACAACGTCAAACTGTGAGTGACCTCTCTTGTTGCTTACATTAATTCTGTATCTTCGTGAAAGTGTTGGTAAATAGAAAGTGTTAGACGATCCTCTAACTACAAAGAACTCTTCAGAGTTCACTTCGCAAGATTTTTTTTCTTTTCAAAATCATTATCAAGATTGGGCCTTTCTTACTTTTTTAATGCAGGCTCCCCAAGAAAAAATTGGACTTTGGATGCCACTAGCCAACCAAGGATGGAAACCCTATACCAATTCGGTCCGCGTCTCACGTCAGTGATGCAACAAATCTTTCACATTTTATTATCTGTTTGATTTCTACTATCTGAGCTTATGTTCATATAAGTGTCATTCAAATCTTTATCTAATTAACCATTCATTTTCAAGCAGCGTTAGATGGAAACTCTGAGGGGTACCTTCAGGTGTTCCTTGATGGAGGATTGAACCAACAGAGAATGGGGGTGGGTTTATTGAATATTTTCTTTTTAAGAAGTTGAAATAGACGAATGAAAGATTACAGATTATTTCTTTTATTAATAATGCAGATATGTGATGCAGTTGCCGTTGCAAAAATTCTGAACGCCACTCTTGTGATTCCTCATTTGGAGGTAAATCCAGTTTGGCAGGATTCAAGGTGTGTGTAAATGCTCTATATTCGTAATGCGTTGATAGTTATAGACTTATAGGTCATCTCATATAGTCATATCGATTAAATATATAAAAAAGCAAACTTATATGAAGTCTTGGGATACTCCTCCTATCTGGTAAACTGAGCATTTTAGGATGGAATCCCAAGTGTTAATAGATAGAACAAAGCTATTAATGATTTTAAATTTGGGGCCAATTCAACCAAACAGCACATTCATGGAAATCTTTGACGTGGATCACTTCATCGACGTTTTGAAAGATGATGTGTCTATAGTAAAGGAGTTGCCTGATGAGTTTTCTTGGAGCACAAGGGAGTATTATTCTTCAGCTATTCGGCCAACCAGAATTAAGACAGCACCTGTTCATGCTTCTGCAAACTGGTACTCAGAGAATGTCTTGCCCGTTCTTCGGAGGTCAGTTAAGATTATACATTTATTCATACATTATGTCATGAATGGGATCGATTTATATAATAGTTTTAAATTGCATCATCAGTTATGGGATTGCAGCAATTTCGCCATTTGCTCATCGTCTGGCATTTGACAATATGCCAAAGGACATCCAGTGTCTCCGTTGTAAAGTCAATTTTCGGGCACTGATTTTTGTACCTCACATCAGAGCCCTTGGAGATGCCCTTGTTCATCGCCTCAGATATCCTGAAAATGAGGTTGATGGTAGTAATGTCAATCCCAACAAAGGGACCGCCGAGAAGTTTGTTGCTGTTCATCTTCGCTTTGATAAGGTGCTGTTCTGCTTTAGTAATTGCATCCACATACATTTTAGCTTCAACAATCAATGAACCAACTCACAATGACAGATTAGACTTCATTTGCTTCTTTCTATGAAGTTTTGGATAGTAAATCTCACAATGCATCAATGGTAAGGAGTTGGGGTTAATGGGTTTCGTCATTTCTGATGTACTTTCGCATTTGCATTGGTATTATTAGTAATTTCCATTTAAGTCACCCCATAATGGCCATGTACATGTTGAACCACCTATTAGGTTTGCAAAGAAGTCTAAAGAACCCCAAGACTTGTACTTTTATTTATCTAGATTCCTAAAGCTGTGTATCGTTTGCTGCTGTGTCAGGATATGGCTGCTCATTCAGCTTGTGATTTTGGTGGCGGCAAGGCTGAGAAACTAGCCCTAGCCAAGTACCGGCAGATATATTGGCAAGGACGAGTCCTGAACTCTCAATTTACTGATGAGGAGTTGAGGAGTCAAGGTCGGTGCCCACTCACCCCGGAAGAAGTTGGGTTATTACTGGCAGCTTTAGGATTTGACAACCGCACTCGCTTATATCTTGCTTCCCACAAGGTGGCTTTCTCCACATGACACACTTATTCCAATTACTATTTTCTTGATCCAATGGTCTTTCAGAAAGACAGAAATGACCTCTCTACCTTTATAGGTAGGGGTAAGGTGTGTTACAGTATAAAACCTTTCATGGGCCTAAAGTCATAAATTTTTTAAGACCCACTTGCTGGACCTCACTGGGTATTGAATTTAATGTGTTTGCTTGCCCATGGCGACGCCAATTTGTGTGTGTAGGTTTATGGTGGGGAATCCCGGATCTCAGCCTTGAGAAGTTTGTTTCCACTCATGGAGGACAAAAAGAGCCTTGCGTCTTCAGAGGAAAGGTCTCATATTAAAGGAAAGGCTTCGTTGCTAGCTGCAGTCGATTACTATGTCGGAATGCACAGCGATGTTTTCATTTCTGCTTCCCCTGGAAATATGCACAATGCAATGGTACGACAATCTTCTGACAATAAAAAAACAAATGTTCATATGCTTATATTTATTGTCTCTTGGGAACAGTCTCTCTACTTTCTAGTACAAATAATATAAGGTCTGCGTACACACACCCTTCTTTTTGTGGGGATTTTACTGGGTTTGTTGTTGTATGCTTATATCTAATACTACGTACAATATTGGACCTAAACAAAACTGGAAAATTATTTTTCAGGTGGGGCACCGGACGTACCATAATCTGAAGACCATACGGCCCAACATGCAACTCTTAGGTCAGCTCTTCCTGAACAAGAATATGAGCTGGTCTCAGTTCCAAGAGGCTGTGGTTGAGGGGCACACGAACCGGCAAGGCGAGATACGGTTTCGTAAACCGAATAAATCTCTGTATGCGTACCCTGCACCGGATTGCATGTGCGCCACCACCACCACTTCTTGAACCTGTTTGGTTTCTATGGTTTATTGTGATGACCTTATAGACATATATATATTTAGTGATTGAATCCTTTTGTGCATTGTCACAGTTGTAATAAAACGCCACCTCCCCTCTGTATGTGTGTGTTCATATCGATACATCTATATACTCCGTACTATATAGGAATATTCTTATCTTATAATACCACCACTTTTGTGTTGTTTTTAAGATCTTGTGGGGTGTAAAGTGTGTACCATAGTACCATGCTTTTGTTAGGCTGTTATTGCCATGACTTTGGTCCATGGTAGTATGACCATGATCATGCTAGGAACTCACTACATTTGCTTCCATTGATGACTATCACAGATAATTTATACATAGACAGATGATCATTATATGTGGACATAAACGATTATTGTCTACTACGTATTTACATATAAAATTTATCTATAGTTGTTATTCGTGGAGACATTCGTGGTGGTCTTTTAGCAGAGTTGTCATCTGTGGAGGCACTTGTGGTGGACTTTTAGCATTATTCATAGTGGTAGCTATTTTGTTAATAGGGTTTTGTAGACCTGACAAAATAGAACTGAAACTGATTACCCGAATCAAATGGTCCAAAATTGAAACTGAAATAATCTGAAATGTGTAGATTCGATCTATAACTGAAAAACCTAAATGATCTGAACAAACTGAAATCGTACTAAATATTTCCATACCCGATTTAACTTCGAAACCAATCAAATCCGACTAATTAATTCTGAAACTGATAATATCCGTAATCGGTTATACTTGAAACCAATAAGACGCGAAACCAATAATACTCAAAACTGATTATATCCAGAACTAATCCTGCATGACAATAAACATATTGCATTTATGTGTTTTCAAATTTTCACTTTTATTTTACCATTTCATCTAGTTATATAACTAACGCTTTTTGTTCCAAAATAAATTATCATCACAAAGGACTATTTATGAAATTTTTACTCAAAAAAATATACTAAATTGCATGAAGAAATGTGATTTTATCATAATTTCATACAATTGCATTTTATTTTATTTTGGAGTAAATTTGATTGATTTTAAAATTATTTACTCAACTTCACCGAATTACATTCACATAAATTTTATCTAATCGCATTAAATTTCAAATAGAATATATCCAAAATATATCTGAATGAATTGTACACGAAATCAAAATATATTTGAACCCAAATATATCCGAAATCAAAATATATCTGACATAAACATATCTGAAATCGAAATCTATTCGAATGGATTGATATCTGAACCGTATTTGAATCAATCCAAAATCAAAACAGAAATCAAAAACTCTATGGAACCGAAATAAATTTGAATCAAAATTAAACCAAATCGGACAGATTATACTCCCCTGTCTAACAATAAAGTACCAATTCACTATTCATAAGGTCAAACTTTATTCACTTTGTTGACATATTTTCGTGTTCTATTTGATAAAATAATATCTAGTTTTGTAGAATTTTTCATATGTACTCCCTTTGTCTCATTTTAAATTGTCTGTTTTCTTTTTTTTTCTCCATCCCCAAATAAGTTGCATGTTTCTTGTTATCGTAAACTTTTAAGAGTAAAATACCTAAACTACCCCTAAAATAAGTCACTCTTCTCCACATTATCTTCTCATTCATCGTCACCCCTCCTAAAAAGTAATGGCAATTTCAAAAAGTCAACTCTATTTTTCTCTTCCATAAATATGCCCCAAAGTCAAAATGGGCTATTTAAAATTGGATGGAGGGAGTAATTTTTATTTTTTATAATTCCATACCATTTTTTGTATACAATGATTTGAAAAATAACTTCAGTCAAACAACGTAACGCGCAATGAAAACTTTATTTATGGACGGAGGGAGTAACATATGTCCGAACTGAAGAAATCTAAACCATAATCGATCTAGTTGATCCGATTGCCAGGTCTAGGATTTTGTATATTTAGGTACCGTTTGGCTATCAAGAATCAGTTTTTGAAAACTCTATCAAATTGTAAGTTTTAGTTCTAATGTTTTCAAAATTAATTGGCATTAGTATTCAAAAAAAGTTAGGATAACCACAAGCGTTATTCAACCGTTAGGATAGTGAGGATTTTTCTTATAAAAAAATTTGGGATCTTATTCAATGTCAAAAAATTCTCAAGTGGTAGTGAGACTGGTCAAGACCATATAAAGGAGCAATTTGCATAAGGGCATTTCTAAAGAAGCGGTAGAAAATAGAATAGGAAAATGTTAGGTATACACCAAAAGTGTACCCCAAACATCCCCACCCCTCCATCACCACAAAAAAAAGCAAGAAAAATTCAAAAAAAAAAATAAAAATTAAAAACAAAATAAAATGAATGGTAAAGAGAGTGGTGGTATACATTTGGGGTACACCTTTGGTGTACCCATAGCATATCCCAATAGAATATCTACCGGAGAAATAAATGATACGGAGTACTATAGTTTTTTCCTCATCCAACAAAGCTTGTATAAAATTGTGGACAGTCAATTAACTTAAGACCTACTCGTATATTTGAAGATTAATTATTGATCAGTTAGAATAGAGAACTAAGATAAAAATATGAAAGATAATAGATAGAAGAGTATAAAGTATATTCTTGGCAGGCCTCATTTTTTGTGCATCAGTGGAAGAAGAGAAGAAACATGAAGAGAGATTTTTTTTAAGAGCAATGCTAGGTTCACAAACAGAATATTCACAAACTTCACAAACTTACTATTTGTGGTTTAAAATTTCATTTTAAAATCATTTTAGACCATTTAATTTTTTTCATTAAAGTTCACAAATAGTAAGTTTGTGATGTTTGTGACCATTGTGTTTGTGAACTAAGCATTTCCCTTTTTTTTAAAGGAATACAACAACAATCCGGTTGGAAGAAGAGAAGAAACATGATGTGCAAGACAATGAGCAAACCGATTACATGAACGACGAACAAAAGAAATAGAAGCAACATCAAAATTAAGGAAACTAAAAATAAATATCCTCAATTGAAGTACCAAAGTGATGGATATCCGAGCCTAGTAATCAAATAGGGACAGCCCAATCGTGATTCCACGGTAGGGGTGAGCGTGGTACGGTATGGTACAGTATTTAGCCCGTACGGATACCGTACCAAATATTTCGGTTCGAAATGGGATTTCACATCGCACCGATCCCAAAATATCGGTTTGGTATGGAGATTCTCTAAGAACATCTCCGTTGGAGATGAGCTAAACATGAGAAGTATAAACCTAGTTTAGATTACAATATTTTAGATTGTCTTTTTTACTTGTGTTCTAACAGTATCAGTTTTTTTTGCATCTCCTCCACCTTTACTTTGTATTACTCCGTCTGATGGCTAGGATTCTGACCAAAGACCGCTATTGATGCATCCTTATCAACTGGAATTGCTATCTATTACAACCATAATCTATCGATATCATCTCTGGTCAGAACCTAACAGACAATTTTAGTCATTATTGTTGTATTGTTCAACAAACCCACATCAAAATACGTCACTAGACATAGGATCAATGTGAAATTACAAATATGAGATAAGACTTTATTTAACCAAGGAAAAATTTGGTTTGTTGAACAAATATGAGATTAAGAGTTTTTGACCAAGGATAAATTTGAGAAATNGTGAGGGAAAAGATTAAAGTGTAGTAGGGAAAAGAAGAAAAAAATGAAAGAAAAGTGAATGATGTATCAGGGAAAATAGGAGAAAGTAGGACCAATCATTTAAATAATGGAGTTTTGATGATTTTTCAAATTAAAGGGTGACACAAAATATTAACATTTTCTTAGCAATTATCTCACATTCTCGTGGCATACCCAGCGTGTGAACTGTGGAAGGGCAATGGAGAGTTTGTAGAGGGGAATGAGAACTACAAATGATAGGGAGGGGGAGAGATAAGTAGGAGAGAAAAGGGGTGGAAATAGGGTCATATGATAAAGCATTGATGAACAAATTCTTGCATGTATGTCTTATGTCCACATTACCACATATAGACCTAGCACTTCTTTGTCTCAAATTGAGTGAACTCTACCAAGAAATGTAAATTGTGGAAAAAATTGGGTCTGACCACTTATAAGTGTGTGTATGTGTAGATATATACTATGCATAAAAATATAGACAAAAAACATAGTATGAGACTATGAGCTAATAGTGTGTAGTAGGACCCTGAGTTGCCTTTTGAGGTTAGAAGGATGAAATTAGGTACGGAGTAATACATTAGTAAAGTTAATCTTTTTTTTTTTAGCCATGAATGAATCTCACAGGATATTAGGCTGGCTGTAAGGAGCACAAAATGGTCCATAATAAAATGTTGAACCACCAAGTGACAGGACAAAAAGATAAATCATTCCTGCTGGTCAGCATGCGGGGGAGGAGGAGCACCTGAAGAACGCGGACTCGGCTGTTTATCCTTTTCTGAAGTAGCTACCAATCCATTACTGCTACTACTGTGAGACATGGACAATTCTTTGACCTCCTTCACTGCTGCCTCTTCGATAGGAAGGGTTCTCTTTGAACCTTCCAGAGCAACACCGAGTACTATATTCTCTTCAATGCCAGCAGATTTTGATGATGATGATGATGATGATGGCGGCTTTGAAGCATTCTGGTCCAGCTTGGAGGCCGGCTTTGAGGTTGTTTTAGCAGTAACATGTGAGACTTGTCCAACCTTTGGCTCAAGCTTGGTCAAGTCAGGTGTTGATGAAGTGATGGCATTCGCTTTGGGTTCAGCTTTGTTCTCGGGTGGTGGTGGTGTTGAGCGTTCCCCCTTGAGGGAGTCTTCCTCACGCACAGTTCTGACTTTTGTTGGCTCAATGAGCAGCACCTGGCGGCTCGAGGTGGCCCCACGGTTGAATATTGGGTCTGCTACATCATAAGGTATGTTGTCCAAATCTAAATCCCCGTATATCTTCTGAACAGTTCGGATTGGAGTGGCTAATCTGGCTCGGTGGTGTCGTATCACTCTCAGAAGATCCAATAGGATAGCTTCCTGTTTGTTTGTTTGTTTGTGTCAAATTAACAAGTTACAGAGTATATACTAACCTTACATCTGTCTTGCACAATGGGTAGGCAAGTATATGTCCACTCACCTTCACACAGAGGTACTCTTCAAAATGTGAGGTCTTCACAAAGCAAGATATCAGGATCTGCAAATTCCACTTGCATTTGTTTAAAGTCTTGAGCACCAAAATATTGGAACACATATTTTAACGACGTGTTAAAATATGTGTTCCAATATTGGAACACATATTTTAACAATGATTACTGATTTGTTGTTGATGATGTTGTTGTTGTTGTACATTTTAACAATGATATAAGACAGATAGTCACTTTCCAAGGTATGTAAAAAGGAATCAGAACCATAGTCAGTATTCAAGAGAATACCAGTGGATCATTTTGAAAGTGTACCTTAAAAACTACATAAGTTTTAGAATTTAGAAGAGAAAACCGTAAAGACTAGACACTCATTTTCAGTGTTCGGAAGAGTGCCAATCCACCAGTCACATTTTTATATGATAAAAGGCGTCGAAACACTTAAGCTTACCAGGAGGGCTTGGTTTTCAGGATTAACATCCTCTAGAAAAACTCTTTTGTGCAACTTTTTTTGTTCTACTTGAGGATTCTTTGATAAAACTTTCCGCATATCAGCTACAATGTTCTGGAAAAGAAAAGATTCATAACTTTTAGTTTGATTCATCAATGTATCCTTGTGTGCTTACAAACCATACATCAGATTAGGAATACTTGAGCTTACATTAATCTTACTGACATCCAAATGACTAATGGCAAGGTGAGTTTTTATCCGCCAATGAGTTTTCTGGCTGAGATTTCTCACAACATTAACAGTGAACTTGTGGTTAGGTATGTGAACAGCTTCACGGTCTTCACCTCTTATAATTGTTGGTGACCACCAACCCACATGCTGCCATATATAATGAATGCAAATAAGCAAAACCGAAGAAAAATGCCTATTGGCCCTATTCAACAGATAGAAACGTGGCATATAGAATAAACAAAACTATATAGTGACGTTGATTCTCAAAGGTGGAGATAATAATACATCACAGAAGAAAAAAAAGTTACCTCTACATATTTTCTCTTCAGTATATTAAATGATTGGGGGTTGTAATAAAGAAATGGTATACAAACCTCCACAGTTCCAGAAACTTCATAACCTTCAATTTTTGTTTGGATCCATTCATTGAGAACAAATGGTCGAGTTGCATGAATCATCATACTAGAAAGAAAATTAGTAAAAATCTGAAAATCACAAGAGTTGAGTTAACACATTTATCAAAAAATAACAGCATGAAGGATTCAAAAACCAAATATCACTATATCAGTATGTACTTATTAGAACAAGGTGAACCAGGTGAAGGAAAATAAAAAATAAAATCCAAGAACTAAAGATTTGAAATAAACCTCACGGCCAGCAAGAGTTAGCAAGACAGTCCCAAGTCCTCCAGCAGTGAGCCACTTCTGGGTAGAAAAACCTAGCAACTCCATGAACAATGACACTGCAGCAACCCACACCGCAGTATATACAGCTTTTCCAGCAAACTGGAAGCCCATCTGCAAGGAAAGAGAGGTGTAAGTTCATAATGCTTCTGTGCAGTATAAACATTATCATGAATATTCCAATGATAGAGAGTTTAGATTCCAATTGCGATTGATAACAATTCCCTGACTAACAATAATGTACATGTAAAGTTACAACAGAAATTGAGGAAAAGCTTTAGAATTACATTTCTCGTATCAGAAGGGTCATTTGTCTCCATGAAAAACTTATGTGTCTGCTGTATCACACTGCATCAAAGATTAATGGGGAACTAAGATTATACGGAACATAGGCATTTAGCAGTGACTTCAGTTATTTAAATAATAGCAAACCTTCTACACCAGAGCGACAATATACAACAACATTACCCTAGTGCCTCAAAGGCTCCTGCCCATTGCGGGGTAAGTGGGTCGGATGTATGCCTGACCCCTATGTTTAAAACATAGGACGGCTGTTTCCAAATGACCCATGAAAAGCATCTAAAGTTGCAATGACTAACTGCTACTTCACTATTAAAAGAAGCGCAAACAGTTTGAATTGCCATTTTGCTTTATTCTATCATAAAGAAAAGCCAAAAATAGTGAATCTTTGGCTCCATCAGAGATAATGGAAAGGGTTAATGTGAACACTGTTGATATGTGAACGGAAACGTTAGCAAGTTTGCAGCAACCTCAATACTCACCTTGACAAACAATAAGCAAACGCTAACACTGTTGATAGCGATCTCACAAAATTTAGAAGCCGCTGTTTAACAATTTGACTAGCCTCTGTTGGAAGAACCATTGGATCCACTGCTCTGTACAAAACGTAACAGGTATAAGTACATACTTTGTATTTGTTCTTTAGTTGTAGTAACTTGTACCCAAAAAAAAACAAAACAGGAAAACAATGTTGCTTTAGTCACCAAAACATTTACAGTCTGTTTGGTTGAAAGGAGATTTTCTTTGATTCCTAAATCATGCCCAAAGGTTTATTACTCACATGTTTGGTTCAATTCTGACTTTTTTCTTCGGAGATTTTTTCCTCAAAATTGAGGAATAAATCTTCCCATGGGTTTGTGGTTGGGTTTTTTCATGTCTTGAAGGAAGAAAAAGATAAATAATATGTACAAAATTCCCCTCACAATTATGCTGTTATTATTATCATCATCACCATCATAATTATGAGTATTATGTTACTCTTACAGGGACAGCTTGATCTTTAACCTCATTATCCCCTCTCAAAGCCAAAGCTTAACAAACAACAGAATAAATACTCATATTCGCATTTCACAATCAATTCATTCTTACCTACCTAACAGTAAAATTAAAAATCGTCCATTATTCTTTTCAGATGGAACTAAAATTTCATTCCCATTATATGTCTTACTGGCCACTGGGTACCACATGCAGTGTTAATCTTTTCACATCTATATTGTATTAGCTCACCTGCAGACAAGCATTGCTCCAGTCCACAGCACCAAAGGTTGAAGATAAGAGGTCATAACATGATATGTGTTACTCTTGTTCCAACTACTATCACTTTTCTGTATATATCATTGTAAATAGATTGTCACAAATTATATGAAAAACTAAACATTTGTCAAATAGCACAATAAACAAAACTTAAAAGCATGACCGACACGGAGGAATAAGTTTCTACTTTGGCGCAAGATTGGTTCCAAACCCCATATCCCGAAAGCAATAATTCCAACAGCTGGTATCAACTTGAGAACAAGAGGGCTGCTTTGTAACCAACTGTATGATCTGCATTAATCAATACATTTACTGAATATAAATTGGGGGTGGGGAGGCAAGGGTGACTTAATGCGATAAATCCACACAAGTCAGGACACAGTAACTTGAACTTCAAACAGGCAAATCTTACCAGCGGCATTAGACTAATACAAGGCATAAAAACAATAGATCAAAAGGGAAATAATGAATTAAATCCATACAATAAAACAAGCTTCATCTATGTCCATTCATAGAATCATGGAAATGTCATAGACTCATGGTGCGTCTGAAATAATGCAAGTGAAGAATTACCTCGATACATTTATAACAGCATTCTTTATACTTGTAATATCAACAGGTTGGCCTGGTTTCAAAGAAGAACGGCACCTAAACTGAAATTTTCTATAACAAAGTGCATGTTTCTTGACTTGTAATGTCATTGAAAGACGGATACTCCAACAATGTTGCTGCTGAAGATGCAAAATAAATAAATAAAATGTCAGCATATATTTATGAATGAAGAAAAAACAAGATCTAAAAGGATTTTACTTTTAACAAAATAAACACAGGATCTAAAATCATTCTATTTTCAAGAAGACCTAAAAGCACTTTAGCTTTGGCATCTTGTCATCTTCCTTCATTTATATCTAATGTGAACATGTAGAATTCCCATTGTTTCATTATGTGAAGTAAAAATTTCACCACAATAGTTGGTTTTTCCCATTGTATCTGTAACATTAACTCACTGGAAAATTTCTCCAGCACTCGTTGACAAAGATAAATCTTGCAGCTTAATAATTTACAACAATATGAACTGTTCGTAGTTCCACGAAATACAGTGATTCATTTGTAACCTAGCTATTTAAAAAAATCCAACTAGCCAGGTGCTACACAAGCCACATCGTCCAAGTTTTATGAATAATGAAGAAATGGATGATCTCATTGGGAACACTCAAAGCATAGGATGATGATCATGATCAGAAATGCATCACCAGTGAAATACCTTGAACAGTCGTAGCAAAACAATCAACTGAAAAAAACACATACCACAAGAAATGAGGACATCCTAGTAGTAGAGCTTCGAAACGTGCTGCCTCCAATCTCATTCTGTCACAACAAACACCATAATTCAATCATATTCCGGACCCTAAAATGGAACGCACAAGTACTGAAGACGATTATGATAGAAATACTCGTAATCTGTGATTGTGGTTCTTGCACGTTCCCAAATGATGGGGAAGTTGCAAAGAACCTGCGGCTGCCATTACTGGAAGAAACTGGTTTCGATCTGGAACTTCAAACGCAGCATAAGACGATAATCCTGCTACTCAGCATTCAATTCAGATATTGATGAGCCACTGGCCTTCCAGACGAATCAACACAATCTCGAACTGCTGGTGTGAGGTAGAATCGGAAGTATGAGAGAACATAACCTAATTTTCAAATGTCGGGTGAAATCTAGAATTAAGCAAAGATAATCACAATCCAAATCAACTCAGATGCACAGGAAATTGAAGTTCACGTCTAAAATTCGAGTCTAGAAAAGGGGGTTGAAAGCTTGGTGGTAGATAAGGTGGCGCCGAGGAAACGTGTACAAGAAAGAAGACAAAAATGATTGGGGAAGCCAAATTGAGGCTTGTTTGTTGTTTCCAGTACTCCTCTCATCCAAAAAATTCTTACTCCTTTATTGACTTAGTAGTAAAAAATTTAAAAATATAAAGACTTTTTATGTTTGTCTTTGATGTAATGAAATAAAATGAAGACTAGAGATAAAAAAAATAAGAAATCCTCCTTATGTAACACTATAAAACCAATAATATTACATAAATAACATTCACTTAATTTTGTTGACTTAAACGAGAGTTCCAGCGTGAAAGATTTCCAACTATATACTCTTTTAATAATTTTATTCACTTCCATAGTTTTAGGAGTTGAACTATTCTCTTACCATGTATGTAGCGGTTATGTTTGTGCATTCTTTACACAACGACACTACTTAAACTCTCTGATCATTCACTTAGGGTTTTGATTATTTTTTTCAAAAAGGTTTGATTTCTTAAGATTTCTTCAAATTGAGAAACTTGAGTTTTTTGTTTGAAATTAGATTTTGATTTCTAGGGAGTAGAGGTGGCCATGGTGGTGGCCGTGTAGAGGCGCTGGTGGTGGTGGTGATGAATGTGTTGCAGGGGTGGGTATGATAGTGGTGGTGATGATGGTAGTGTGCTGATTACAATTGAAGTCAACAACGAGGGTTGCATTGAAGCACTAGTAGTGACACTGTGGCGATGATGGTTGTTATGTGTGACTGGGGTGATGGTGATCGTGACAGTAGCTAGTATGGTAATGACAATGACAATTTGGTGGGATAGTGGTCGTGAGGAGACAAAGTTGAAAGTGTGGTGGGGGTGGTAGTGTGGGGGTGACAGAGGGAGAAAAGTTTGCCACTAATTGTACAGAATCCGCCGATAATTAAGATTTAGAGAGAAACAAGAGGCAGACTCACTTATGCCGCTAATCACACCCCTGCTAAATTTAAAGGTAGAAAAGTCCGCCACTAATTTCTTCTAATTTAGAGGTAGAAAAGTTCGCCGTTAAACTAGAGGCAGAACTGTTCGCCTCTAAATTAGAGACGGAATTATTCGACGCTTAAGTAGACGCGACATTTTTTGCCTCTATAATAGAGGAGGACTTCTTTGCCGCTACCTTTCTAATTCACTAGAGGGAGGATAACCCGCCTCAAAATTTTTTATATTTAAAAAAAATATAAATAATAATAATATTCCAAATACTCTATAGAAATATACAAACAATATTCAACCATTACACAATATCATAATCTCAAGAACTCAGAAGTCATACAACTTTGCAAAAATAAGGTTGGAATACATAAAAGACCTTGAAATAAGTTTTCAAGAAGTCATAAGTCCTCCAAAATACCTTAAAATACCAAGTCTTATAAAAATCATTGATCAATTACCAACAAGTATCGATAAGGATAGCAAAATATACCATGCATGCTTTCTTTGACGCCCCCAAGTAGAAACATATTAATCACTCAATTCATGTTCATCACGCTCATCATTGTAGTGTGGATGAGTAGCCGGGGTCAATGACGGAAGAGCAGAAGATCCCTCCACAACTGCAAGGCATTGAAGTACAACTTTCAAAGACATTTTTATGCATCACGTCTAGGTTGTGCCTTAGTAAATTATCCTTCCAATATGGAAGGTCTCAAAAAATACTTCGTTTCGTCCAATTGTGACTCACCCCAAATCCCGGTATCTTTGAAGGTGGCATTGACTTTGTCACTTGTGGTAAGTTCTGAACACTTTGCTACACGAGGTTTGTAACGCCCCAAAAATAGGCCTATCAGAATTAATTAATTGATAATTAATTAATTACTGAGAAGAAATCCAAAATAAGTGATTTATAAAGTTTATCAATAAACAATGACAAATCGGAGTAGATGGTGTACCCCTTGCTTTACAACGTCAAGATGAAAAGGGATGGTCGAGGGTTGCTTGAAGTCCTACAAGGTTAAGATCAAAAGATTACTTTCCAGTGACACGAATTTTATTGAAATAATTCGTTGGTTTCTCTATTTTTAAAATGACATCAAGGACCATTACTATTTGCTACAATAAAAATTAAGAGGGGACATTTCCTCGCTATTTTGTTAATGACCGTCAAAAAATAGTATAGTTTTCTCATTCTATCTTTAATGTAGTCATTTTAGTTGTATGTTTTTTTGCATCAAACGGACAATTTTGAAGTTTTGAAAAACAGTTACATAAGAAATTGAATTTCTTAAAAAAACACTTACATAAGAAATTGAAAAAACTTTATGAAAAAGGAAACAAAGTAAAGAAAAAAAGGAATAAATAAGAAAAAAGAAACTAAAAAGTGAAAGCCATGAGCTTTATTAACATAAAACCATCATTATGGACAAAATGAGAAAAATATATTTTTTTAACAGGCATTAACAGGATAGTAAACAAAATATCCACTCCCAGTCTTTACAACAACATTTAAGGACCCTAATATCTTTTTGATCACAGAGGGACCTGCGAGTTATTTCAATAAAACACGCGTTAATCTAGAGTAATTTTTGGGTTAAGATGAAAAGGGGGTAATATGTAAGAATATTATGTGGGATTGGAATTTAGTAGTTAAAATGTCAGTTTTTTTTTTGTTACTAGAAACCATGTCCTAAATCATACCCTACTTTGTCGGGATTGGAATTTCGGATTGGGCGTAATATTGGGTGAGATTTGACAACTTCCGATATGGAGGTAGTAATTGTAATAGTGATCAGATGTGGGACACTTGCCCAACAACAGGCAATGACCTTATTACTCTTGCCTGACCATTTGTGATTTTAGTCAACTAATTGGAAGGCTAAAAGCATTTGTGTACGAAATCGGTCAGCCACACTTGATGAGGTCAAACTTGTGTGTGAGTATAGAAACATATGCATATAAACAAGCACAAAATTCAATCAACATGTTGGACCTAAAAGCTAAAACATAATGCAATAAAGCAATGTCATTAGGCAGTTAAAGAGAAATGGTTATTGCATCCCCCTCAACCAACATATACAGGTTCCTAAGAGTGCCCTTACAAGAAGTAGGTGTGTCCACTGAGAAATTTTATATATGTAACCATCTGAAGTATTTTAACTATATGATAAATTTAGACAAGTAAGCTTGGTTGACTTCCCTCTCAACAAGTCCAAGGACCAGCATTTAACAAGGTAGACATGAGCAGAAAAGCTAAATGCAGTATATAAAGATACTTTTATATTGATTTTCTATATAACAAACAGCTAGAACCTAGAGGGGAAAAAACTCAAGCCATTAAAGAGCAAACAATATTGACTTAAGTAACCAAAGGCAAGCGGCTTACGTTTTAAGTAGCAATGAGTGAAAGGTATAGTACCATCTGTCAAAGGAATAAATTGGGAATCAGGGTTCATAAGCCAGTATTCAGTCATCTTCAAACCCTTGGGGTCATCAGAGTGATCAGCATTCCCAGCAGCCATTTCACTGCTTGGCAGCATCAGATACATCACAGTCTAGGACAAAATGTATCGTCTACGGAGTATATTTTAATTATACACAACTTATAAAAAAATTATTCTCACCTGCAATACAGTAGTGTGAATCCAGTACCTATAAACACAACCAGAAACACACTTTTCCTAGTTTTGAGAAGTCAAATCTTATTGCACACATAACCCTACCCCTAATAAACAGCAAGCATAATTTACCCAAAAAAAAAAGCACGCATTTAAGAACAGCAAACATAATTTAACCTTAAAAACAATAAATATGGTTTAAGGGTATGGATACAAAAAAACATTAGAAGATGTCTTTAAACGGGGTGCAGAACCTTACAGACACCAAACATAGTTTAAAGGGATGCAACCTTAAAAACTTACAACAGTAATTTATAGGTATGCATAGCTTTAATAACAGCAAATATAATTTAGCAGTTTAAATGTCTTGTTTTTCTTGGTACAAGTTACAACAGACCATGTCCTAAATCATACTAGATCACACACTATGTTACATATGAAACATAGTGGCCTTCGATATATCACAGCTCCGGATGATCACACCACCTAGAACACTCATTCCTGAAACAGAGCAATAATTCATAAATTCTAAGTTTTTTCAATCAATAAGACACAATGTCCACACCAAGAAATAAAAATAAATCATTTTTCCTTTATCATGCATCAATGGCTTAGTAATGCTGCATGCTAGAGATGGGTAAATGTAATGAACCTGATTCGACCCATTTGGATTGTGTTAATGAAGTTTACACTTTCTCTTTTTGTTGCTTTCAAAATAAACTTCATTTTCAACAATTCCTTAAGATATTGTTTGGAAACAAAGATTTCATTTGAATGGTTTGAGTTCAAATTACAAAAGGATGTATATGGATTTGTAATTAAGCTTA